TTTGGTCTATATAACCTCGTTATTTTGATATGTTTTGGCTTTATTTCACGCCAAACGACATAATATTTTATTTGTATATTTATTATTTTTTTCTATATTTTATTTGTATATTTATATATTATTTGTGTAAGCCACCTTTTTTTTCTAGATTTTGTGATAAAATTATCTTAATATTCAAGTAGAAAGCAAATGGATGTTCATGAGTTTTTAGTTTTCTTAAAGAGAAAAAGTTTGCCGATATCCAAACTGAAAACGCTCCATTTCTGAGATTTTTCGTTTAAAAAAAATTGTAGGATACGTTATGATGAAGCCATTCACGAAATTTTAGACAGATGTTAATATATTTTAAAAAAGAGATGAGTACCGCGGATTTCTCCGTAAACTATGCCCCATCATAGAATCTTCTATTTGTTCATTCTATGTTTTCGGGACCCCGCCTTCTTCTACAGCCAATTTTCGAAAAGTAAACCTCTCCTGAGAAACTTCTTTAAAGTATTCTTTTTCCATACCTCTTCGAGAACGTTTTTTTACATCCATATTTTCTCGATTTTTTTCCACATCTTATCATCGGCAATAGTTTCTGTTTCACATGTCATCATATCACTACAATTCCATTATATTTATTCATTTCGGTTTTAAAAATGGAATAACTACTTGATTATTATCTCTCTTTGATTACCTCTACTCTATAAACTGTCTGAATTAAGGTCAAAACAATTTTTCCAATTATTATCTTCTCTAAATGTGTACATGGATGTAAAACTGGCACCTCATCGGAGCTATGAAGGAGGAAGGGAGAAATAATAGAGCTTGCTTTTATTGCCGTTGATAAATTAAGTCGGAAGGCAGTTTCCAAGATCCCATCCTCTTTTTATTCCACCACTAAAAGAAGCTTTGGCCAGCTTTATTTAATTTTATAGCATGTTTTATGTTGTTTTCTCTTCAGCGCTCCTTTTAAAACGGGGGCGTAGTATTTCATTTATGGAGTTTTCCTTTCTCGAAAAGCTGTATAAATTCCGACCTTTCTGAAATAAAACATGTGACAATCACAGTTTGATTTTTTTTTTTTTTTAATCAAATTAAAGTTCCTTAGAGTATCGGACTCTCAAAACGAATTTAGTTTAAGGTTAACTCTGCAGACTATAGAAGCTTTATAGTTTTGTTATTTAGTTTTACAAGATTTTTTTTGCTCGAATTTCACTGGGTATAAATCATTGTTTAAGACATATTATAGTTAATGAATATAAATTTTTGTTTGAGTAAAAAAAATTGTTGTCAACGCTGGCGCAAGGTAAAAAAAAAAAAGTTTTCCACTACAATCCATGAAGAAAAGCGTCTTGAATTCAGTACTTAGTAAGGAACTACTGTTTCCAGGCCAACGGTTATGCAGAAGTGTGATTGGGCCTAGATCACGCTCAACCGTCATGTTGTCCCTTAATTATTTAATTAATAACAATCACTTTATAGAAGCTGAGTGTACATACTGATCCACGGTTGATGTAACATAATAAATAATTATCTACCATCAGCCGGATTTGAACCTAGGACATTGAGCTTAGGAAGTCGGTAACATACCCACTGAGCTACCGCGCAACCTGTTAGCGAAAAATTATAATCATAAATAGTTGTGAAAAATTAACATATTTCTATAACAAATAAAAAAAAAATTAATTAATGCCCCGGGGATAATTTTGTTCCAACTGTACAAATTGTTTGGAAATTTAAAATTTTGTCACCCTGTCCTCTTCTCAAAAAAAAAAAAATTATCTTAGCAACGCTCCTTTACATGAAGACGTTAGACTAAATAAACAGCAGCATTATGCCCCACACAAATTTCTCTTCATTGCGATCATATTAAAATAAAGTTTTACTCTTAGTTAAAATAATTTTTTACTCGTAAACTTTTTAAATTAAAATAAAATAACTGTAATACCTGGAATTTGATTCCATAGATCAATCTATGTGCTATCACATCTTACCGTAATTGCTAAATATGATACCTTTAAAATTGTTATCCAGCGGTAAATATCATATTTTAATCAAGCTACATTAGGAGGGGGGCTGTAATGGATACAAATATTTAATATCGTAGAGAAATAATATAAAATACACTGTATCTGAAATATCCATCCGCCTATATATTGCTGTTGTGGTTACTGATACATTGTTATACTCTGTGTGCCACTAAAAGGAGCCGTTAATTTTATATATTTTTTATTCTTTTTTAAGTATAAATATTTATACTTGATTAGACAATAGGTACTTTAACGATGTTAAATGCCTTTTCTCTTTGATCCTAATCATTATTTGCTTTATAACTGAAGTTTTTCGTATTCTCTTAATCCATCAAATAGTAGAGAGTATTGTATAATTTTAAGATTATTTTGGGAACGTCAGTAACAGTGGCTGATGGGTACGGCCCCATTACAGCCTACGGTGATGGATGGTTAAATGAAAGGGAGGGCGAGGAGGGATGAGGAGGAGGGATATAGAATTTCGTTTAGTGTAATATATCTGCATGTTATCGGGGCATCCTCGTTTCCAACAGCGCAGCAATCGGTTAAGCATTATGTGTCATTTATCAAGGGGACTGGAGATTTGCACAACACGATCTAAAAATGTATCTGGTTGGTCGTCACAGCATTTGTCAGCCTCTCTTGGTCAATGCATAAAGGAAAGCCCTGATGGATATCCTTATTTCTTCTCCTTGTCCGCTCCTATCGAAAGGAAATACTGTAAATACCACAAACTATGCTGAGATATTATTTCATTTTCGGATTTTCTATTTTTTTTTTTAAATGGAGTATTCATTCATAACAATTACTGTAGAATCCCGTTCATCTGGAAAAATATGTCTAAGGCTATTTCGGACCAACGCGAAATTTCATTAAAATAAAAATTATTAAAGTGAATTGTAAAAAAATGTTTTTGTTCGATAGTGCCAATGGGAATTCCATTAATCTACCGGATATCTGTTATATTATATATTTCTATCGTTTATAGAGGGAACCGATCTATTGAAATAATTACTAAATATATTTAATTAAGTTGGTACTTCCCCTCCTGCCAGTGATGCCCAGAAGGTTTTTAATTTTTTTTTATTTCATACTAGACTTTAGTTAGACGCCATTAGCCAAAATTTTAAGTATTGTTTATTCGAAATGATTATTTAGCATCATTAACTATTATTGTTGTATTATTATTACTTAATACAATATCACAATACTGTAACAATAATATTATTATTACATTATTAGCATCATTAATTATTATTTAGCATCATATTTAATATCATTAACTAACTTTGATTTATATAATTTAATCAGAAAAGGGTTTTATGGCTCAAGTTGCGCCATCAAAAATTTTGAGGGGGTCATATTTTGACAGCTTTTTGAATTTTCAGGGGGAGCACATTTCAACAGGGTTATGAATTTCAGGAATGAAAATTTTCAGAATAAGGGACAAGAAAAAAACATGGAACAGACCAAAGCAAGTGTAACTGTGTATGATCTACGATTTTTCTAATTCTACTTTCCCTAGCTCTGTTTTCTAGAAAAGGCAAGCAATAAAATATCTTGGCAGAGGGGAGAGGGGAGGAGGATAGAGTAGGTTCTTGCGCCATCGACTTTGGGGGAGATGGGCACCCTTGCCCCCTGCTGTGGTATACTAGATTCAAATAAGTTTAATATTGGATTTATATTCCAACGTTATCATGTTTAACAATTTACCTAGATAACCTTAACAGAGGCATATAGGTTAATGAATTAAATTCACGTTTTAAATTTTGAAACAGCTCAATTTTCATAATACAATCTTATAAGTAAAAATCTAGATAACAAATTTAGATATATAACTGAAATTGTTAGTATGGGTCATGATTAATCACTTTACTATTTCAACGGCTGGCCAATTCAAATATTGCTTGAATAGTTTCTGGATACTATAACTAAAACTTAACTAGAGGATGATAGAAATTTAATGGACTCCACAACTACTTCTTTCACATCTCTGTTTCCGGTACAAGACTTCTGCCTTTCATTTCTCATCTCTTCTGCATGTATCTATTGGATTCACTCCACTATTGTCTCATCTCTTCAAGCAATTATTCTCTTCTTCTCCACCAGTCTCTACTTCAAACCATCTTCAACAGACTGTCTGTCTGGGATCTTTGCATTTTTCAGACTCATTCACTTTCAGTTCCTTCCAAAAACTGGCTACTTCCAACTATATCACAAGCTGCACTTCCAGCCAGCTCTTTCAAAAGACTCCCTCCTCCATTCCACTCTTATAACAGACTGACTGTTTCCCCCTGTTCCTAAACTAACTCCATATAATTATAAGTTATGAAATATATTTTAATTCCTATATCACCATCCTCAATGCAACGTAGTAGAGATTACAACTCGCTTTTTTCAACCATATGTATTGTTACTTTTTACTTTATATATCATAAAAACACACTATTGAATACATTAAAAATAAATAAATTGTTATTTAAAGAAGAGTGAGCAGCAGAGGTTATGTATTCAAACCTCTGCTGTTGATTAATGATATATATCTTATTTTTATTTTTTTTTTTTTTCACCACATCAAACAAAATAAACCTTTATTCTTCTATGAAGGTCTATCAAAAAAAAATTAACATCTTTTAAAAATATGAAATAATGTTCCCATTGGTGCTGGAAGATTATGTTGTCCATTGTTAATTACACTGGTCTATTCACTTCCTGAGGAAGTTTCCAAATTGTTCCTCGTGTGAATGTCTAAAACCAAATTTTACCTATGGTTCATTATCATTTAAATTTTAATTTGTATGAACTTTTGATATAATGTTAATACTAATTGTATTTTTTTCATTTATATTGATTATAACTCATTTCACACATATTAAAACATTTCCATAATATTCTATAATAATTTTCTTCCACTTATATTTTAATTTTTTTTTTCCAGGTTGTCTTTTAGATTCTATACCTGATGTTCCTCCAAGGAACCCAACTATGAATCGACACAATGGCCGTTTACCACCTGGTGGACATCCACCCCATGATCTGGACTTCGAGCCGTCTTGTGTAGTTCGATCCCCATCTGGTAATGTCTACATTCCATCAGGTAATTATGAAGAAGTAGTATTATGCTATTAATATCATTATTTGGGGACAAAAATAGTAGCATTTACTTTTAATAATCCCTGATCCTTGGAAAATATCTATTGTCAAAATGATCCACAAACCCAAAAAGCCACCAGAATATCCATCCTCTTACCGTCCCATCTCTCTGTTACCCATCATGGGAAAAATCCTGGAAAAACTAATCTTAAAACGCCTGTACCCAATCCTAGATTCTAATCACATAATCCCAGATCACGAATTTGGATTCCGCTCCTCCCATTCCACTATACAGCAATGCCATCGTGTGGTAGACGTAGTATCCTCTGCATTGGAGTGCGGTATGTACTGTACGGGAGCCTTTCTCGATGTTGAACAGGCGTTTGATAGAGTTTGGCACCCGGGACTGCTGTACAAACTCCGAAAATTCCTACCACCTACCTACTTCCTCATTATCCGTTCCTACCTTACTGATAGATACTTTAAAGTAAATCACAACAATGTATATACATCCCGTTTTTCCCAGTCTGCAGGTGTTCCTCAAGGTAGTATCCTAGGTCCTATCCTTTACACAGTTTATACAGCTGACATCCCAACCCATCCCAACACTGTCATCACCACATATGCTGATGACACATGTATCCTATCAGTCAATAACGACCCATCTATTGCATCCCAAACCCTTCAATCCCACATCACAAACCTGGAAGAATGGTGTCAGAAATGGAGAATTAAAATAAATTCCAATAAATCCCATCAAATTACCTTCACCCTTCGTCGTAAACCAATGACTTCCTGTCCTTCAGTATCCTTTAACAACACCTCACTTATTCCTGTTGAACAAATCCGTTACCTAGGACTCCATCTGGACAAACGTCTAACTTGGAATCCTCATACCAGACTGAAACGACAAGAAACCGCTCGACGTTTCCGACTACTTCAACACTTACTAGACAAACGCTCTAACCTTCCAATCAATTATAAAAGACTGATTTACATGACTATAATAAGGCCTATTTGGACTTACGGGGTTGAGCTATGGGGCTCCACCAAGCCTTCAAATTCCTCTCGCATACAGTCCTTGCAATCCAAAATCCTTCGTAAAATCCTCAATGCTCCTTACTTTGTTACAAATAAAATTATCCATAATGACCTTAATGTTCCTTATGTATCAGATTTGGCCCAATCCAGATATCTGTCCTTCCATAATAAACTTCATAACCATCCCAACCCTCTTGTCTCTAACCTTGCTTCCTATTCGATTCCTGATAACCCTCCTAGGCGTCTGAAAAGAAGATGGCCACGTGATCTTCTAATATAGACATACTATTAGAGTGCTACCAATAGGTAGTTTCTCAACATGTGTTCCATGTCTTTATACCAATGTGCAAATTTACTAGATGTATTTTTTTGTATACAGTTGTAAATGTCATTTAAAATAAATAAAAAAAAAAAAAAACTTTTAATAAAATTATTATTTGATGTATGAATATATTTCTTATATCAACTTACTGTTAACTCTTTAATTTTCACTTAATGCTTAATTATTAAAATTTAGAACTATAGTGTGTTTTTATTGGTTTTTAATCCTATTTGAATATAATAATAATATAGTTCAATGTAATTTTCTATCTGTTTATATATGAAAGTATTGTGACATCCCCTCTCCCCTTATCTTATTTACACTAATCTCTCAGCCCCAGAAGCAAATATTACAATAGACAGTAATTTATAATCTGTTGTATCAGCAATAGATTAATTCAAAGTTGGGGAGGCTCTCTTAAAACACCCTTTAATAGGTTAGTGAAAATATTTGTCGGCCGGGCATATTCCAGCTTCTGGATAATGGTTAGTCGAAATTCAGTCATTTCTTTGACTGAATACAGGGCTCTCTGTGGGTTGTAATGGTAAAGGTCATTTTTAATTTCTATTTAAGTTTGTTAAGATAATATATAAATGTTTGAAGAGAAGGATGGTTGGTCTTTCTACGCTTCTTCAACAGACCAGCCCTGATGAAGGCCTGAACTTCGGGCCGAAATGTCGGCAAAAATAAAAATAAATATAAATATTTATTTTTTCTATTTTTTATTTTGACTGATCTCCCTTCTCTTCAATTATTTACTACAGTCAACCATCAATCAACAATTATATAAATGTTTATATTTCAGATGTTACAAAAGGAACTTTAGACTACAAATCAAACTCCTCTTGTAGTAGTCCATCCAAAGTAGAAATTCAAAAGAACACAGATAGGTAAGTTTTCATTTTTCTTTCAGCATCTGGTAATTTTAATTTTGGTATTGGTGTACTATCAAATGGCCAAATGCCAATGCTCTTCATAATACTTTTTTTCTTTATTCTGATGTATTGAAAGTGACATATAATATATTTTTACTTAACAGGTGTTCATTAGGATTTGGTCCTCCAGTTCCCGTTTTACCTGTCAGAAATAACATTAGAAGGCCAAACTCAAATCATCATTTTCCTCCTCCTCGGTTTCAATTTCAGAAAAGTTTGACTTCCAGATGTTCATGGAAGTGTACAGCAATAGTTTTTATCATTCTCTCATTAGTTTTAATCGCTGCACTCACATATTTGGCTGGTAAATTATATACTTTTACCATTTACTTTTTAATCTCTTTAAAATTTTAATTAACTCATTTCTTTCTGTTTTAGCATCTAATATTTTACATTGGTCATACAGTAAAACTACATGTTCTGTATTGGTGGATGAAGAATCAAATGGCAATGTTAATTCACAGCCTGAAAATGGTAACAAGAATATATCCCGACATAGACCTTCAATGTCAACGTCATCATCTGGAGGTAGGGAGCACAAGAACCAGTTCATTGGAGCAAGGCACCGTAGAGATGTGGCCTTGCATGAACCCAGTATTTTGCATGAAATAGAGCATGAAATTAGTATTGAAAACTCTGGTGGATATTTCATTGGTACTAACAACGGCACAAGTGTTTTGAAATCTCCAAAAGAAGTATTATCAGATGATAAAAATCATTCTTATAATTTAAAAAAACAAAAATTATCTGTTCCACATAATGTGAAAAAAGGCAAACTAGATGAAGGTAGAAAAACATATATTAGTAGAGAGGATGAATTTTACCAAAGAATTGGATTGCAGCAATATCTGCTTAATGGTGGTATATCAGAACATGTTTTGTTTAATGGTGTTTCTTCTTATAATAGTAGAAAACAAAAAGAGATGGCTTTCTCATCATCTCAAAATGAATTATCTAATAATCAAATCATTTTAAAAAAAAAAGGTGTTTTACAAAATCTTAATCAAAATAATGATGTATTTAATAACATTGAAAAAAAAGTTAATTCATCTCAAAAAGAACAAAAATCAATTAATAATTACTCTTCGGTTTTCCCTACTAATGAAAAATCACAAGTTTATGATAACTTGTCCATAAAAGAAATCACAGATAGTAAAGAACCTAAAAATGATAATTCAGTAGTAAGGAAAATACGGGACCAGTCTCAGGGTTGGTATTACAGCAATCATGATGACACTTTGGATGAACTTAGTGAGATAATACTTTTAAATTCTTCTGAAAAAGCTTTAAGTAAAAAAAAAACCAGTAATGAAATGTTCAACAAAAAAAAAGTTTTAGAACCAGAAAACATTTTATCATCTACACCTAATCCCAGAGATGATATAAAAGTTAATCTACCTTCAACAGAATTTAATATATCTAATCATTCATCCCAGAATAATATTTTTATTAATTTTCCTGATAATTCTAATGAAAAGCATGTCAAATATGTAGTGAATTTAACAATATCTGCTAACAATAACATGAAAAATGCCAGTGAAAATAACACTTTGTACGTGGTTTCATTGTCTTTACCTTCAAATAATATTGATTTACCATTAAATAAAATTGTACCTCAACCACCTGAGAGTAATGTTACACCTACTCCTGTAACACCTAACTCAGTAACACCCTCTTCTAAAGTTTATGGACATTATTCAGGTGGTGTTTGCGAGTGCTCATGTCCTTGTTTAGAAAATCCAAAGAAAGATGCTGAATCATTGTTGAATGAAATTCCAGGTATTTACTCAAATGAATCATCTGATGAAGACTATGCTATTTACAATGAAGAAGCAACAGAAAAACGACTAACCGAATCTCAGGAAAAAATATCAGCTTTTGCAAATACGACTTCATCATTGTTTAGTAATGAAACTGACCAAGAAAATTATTCTTTCTCTAGCATTCAAAATGTAACGGAATATTACACTTCTACTGAAAATCTAAATACAGTTATTTCTAATGAAAATACTTCTGATTATTATGTTAGTTCAGAGTCATATGATATGACAACTTCTGAAGAATCAATAATTTCAACCACTATTCAACCTTTTACTAAAACCCAAACAGAAGAAGCAGAATCTATAGATGTATCCACCGAACTTGTAAGTGAAGGAAGCGAAAAATACCCATATGAAACATCTATCGCTACCACTTCAGGCACTGATAGTGCATGCTTAGATGTTAGCCAAGCACCCCCAGTGATTTTATTTTTTGAAGGTGAGGAAATCTTTTCTTTCATTCTTTTAGTTCTTCATACATAGTTTTTTTTTTTTTTTTTTTTTTTAGTTTTTTATAGTATATTTAATTATTTTTAACTTGGTCTGTAATAATAACTTTAGCTTTTTTTTAATTACCAATATTACTTAACTGCCACTTACAATATTATAATATTTATAAAGTAATATTTACATCAGATATAGAACTGCTTGAAAACCATTAAGAAAGTAGTATTCTTATGCATTTAGTCCTATGCACCTCCTTATTTTGCAATTTTATTAGCTAATAGCCAATTAACTGCCTGGAATAATTATTTTAGAAAAAGCTTCTTGTTGGTTTTATTAATTTAATACTAGTGCATCAGTTTGGTTTGTATAATATTCATTAAGTGCATGTCTGCCTATGAATATTTTGTTTTGAAATATTAATAAAATAATTTTAATAACATTAATATGTACTTTAATAGATAATGTAACAATATTAATTGGATTATCAATACATGTAGTTTGATTTAATTTTGAAAACATTATAATGATTAGTTATTTTATGTCTATTTGCGTAGTTGTTTATCTAAAAAGAAATATTTAAGTAAACAAGAAGTACAACAAATAAGTTCAAACATATTTCTGATTTTTTCAGCTAGCCTTCATAACGATTTTGTGTGCTTTAATAGAAAAGTAACTGAAATTATTGTAGAAAATAGCATCTGTACCTTTTGAGATCCCATTTATATGATGTTTTATGTTGGTTAGTGACTCGCAGGATGTTTAGGAATAATAATAAACTTTGGTTCTTATCTAGTAATACCAACTACTCATTTTAATATGAACTTCATGCACCTCATTGTTTCCCTGAAAAATGCTTATTAAAAACAAAAATATATTATTAAAAACTAATTCTAAAAGTCAATAAGGAATAAAAATGATTACACGCATATTATATACTTGAAAAATGTCTTGAAGTTAACCTAATTTGTCAAATCATCAATGTAGAGGGTCAATCATCAATTCAAAATTATTATTACTCTAGATATATTATTATTATACATTGTATTAACAAAATAATGACACTATAATTCATAGTCATAACTCGTACTGTATCTCTGAAGTCCTTTGATTCAGTATATTTGTAAATCATTTGACTAATATTTGATATAAAATTAAATTTAATTTCCTTTTATTTTCTAAGCTAATGAAAAGGAATTAACAGTACAAATTTGTGTGCATGCTGAAAAATAATAATGAAAGATAGTTTAATATTTTAATACTAATCAAAAATAGATTAAGATTTAAACACCACAACACTACTAAAACACTTTTAAAAAAAATCTTCTTAAGAAGAAAAAATGTCACTTAATATTTTAATTTCTAATCTTATTAGCCAAATGGCTATTTAACTAACAACACTTTGTCTATCATAAAACTGGTATAATTTGTTACATGAAAGAGAATTTTTGCCAATAGCCTAAATATTACAATATTTAAAAACAATGTATATTTCCATTGATTTTGGATTGATTATATTCACAGAAACAATTCTTATACTACCACACAATTAAAAACTTCAAATCTATTTAAGAACAGATATTGTATCTGAAACTCGCCTTGTTTGCTTTAAAATGGTTTGTAATAAAAAAGAACTCATTTTATTTTTCATATTGATACCAAACTGATATTTTACTGGCATGGTAAAAAAAAATATTGTTTTTCTATATCAATAATTACTTTAAAAATAAAATTACTAGTGTGTTTGGAATATTTAATTTTCTATCATAAAGTGTTTACATTCTTTTTTTTTTTTTTGTCATTTAATCTTGTTTTCTGATGAAGCTTAAATTATATTTACCTAATAAAAAGAACATATGTATATTAAGAATATGAGATATAAGTTTATCCATTAAAAGAAAATAGGTGTGGAGACTCACTACTCCTGAACCTTCATTCGAATCCATCCATATCAGAAAATTTACTTTTCATTTTATCCTAATAAATTTTATATTATCCTAATAAATCATTTTTTACAGAACTATTTATATCAAACTTTCTTCCTCTTCTCTTTCTTTTAGGGATTTAGTGTTCACTAGTGTTACTCATCAGTAGATATTTTTCTAAAATCACCTGAAAATTCATTTTCATACTTAAAGAGCTATTAAAATTACATAAACTCTTATCTCTAAATAAATAACAACTCCTTTTCTGCCTGACTAGTATGTAGTATAGTACACCACTGCCCACGGAGAATCAGGAGTACAGTACCTGTAAGGAAATATTGTTCCTTGGTCAATAGTTGTGTAAGGAGGTGATTTTACTTAGATCATGCTCAACTGTGAGGCTTTTCTTCTTAACTAATAATATAATTAACAGTACCCATGTTATAGAGGCTGAGTATACTACAGGAGGGTCTTTGTACCCCATAGTCAATTCATTGCCGATGAAAAATGATAAATAATTACCTGCTATAACCAGATTCAAACCTGGAAGCTGGACCATAGGAGCACTGATTACTCACTGAGCTACTCTGTTCCTCCTATATGATTTGCTTGAGTTGAGATTTAAATTACTGATGATTTTTTTATTTTTTTTTTATTAAAAGTTTTATCTTTAGGTTCCCACCACTCTCTCATGTTTTCAGCTATCATATTGAGTTAAGGATTTTTTTTTTCTTCCCTCCAACAGTAGAACTTCTTTCATTGCTTTATATTATAATCCCCAATAACTAATATACCTCCCTATGTTCAAGTGTGTTTCTCTTTCTGCATCATGAATATAAATATGCAGTTCACCCAGTTTTTTTTTCTTTAATAGAACTATTTTATGTAACAAACAGTTCCATAATCATACAACCTAATTTTTTAACTACTTACTCATTTTTCAGCATAAAGTTTCTTGCTTTCTTCGAATATCCTCTGTTCTAATTTTCTATTTTTTATTCAACAGAAATAATTGTATGTCAAAATTATATACAACCACAATTGTAAACAATTATTGTATATAATTATTTATTTCTGTGTATATGAAGTAATCATGTCAGTTAGAATCTAAATCTCAATATTGTCAGTTTATTTTATTCTTTAATTAAAACAAATTTATAAAGATTTGAATGGATTATTTATTTTATTTCAATAAAAATGATTGCTGTCTAAATTTAATAGAGCAGAATATTATAATTTTGTATATCTCTGATGATCTAGATTTTTTGCGCCTAATCATCAAACAACCAATAATTTTGTATAAAACATTACGATAATAAGATAATAATATTTAAAGGCTGCTAATTATATAAACCATAATTTTCTGATATAAAATATAGAAATTGTGATCAATTATATCTTTATTTTTTAATCATCATTCTTAGGTGGAAAAACATTTCCAGCAAGATCATTTCCTCCAGATGGTACGACTTTTGCTCAGGTTACCCTAGGACAAAAATTGACCAAAGAAATTCCTCCTTATGGCTATTGGAACATGCAATTCTATCAGTCTGATGCTGCATATGTCAAATTTGATTACAATATTCCTAGAGGAGCTAGTATTGCAGTATATGGTAGACGAAATGCATTACCCACTCACACCCAATATCATATACTTGAAGTATTGAGTGGGTTTAAAGCAAGAACTACTAGAGCATCTCAGGTATGTGAGAGAAATGTGCATTTCTTTAATTATTTAATCATACACATGATGGTCAAATAACTTAATGTTTGTAGAAGTCATAATATTTTTAATTTTATTCTTGGATACAATGTTATAAAATAATTATTTTTAATCAATCTATGCTGATGATTCATTTCCTCTTCCTATTTAAGGTGGATTTTCTTACTATATTTATAGTATTTAAATTACTTATGTCAGTTATATTTACTAATCATTATTATTTACTAATCATTATAGTTATATAAAATTACTTACTAATCATATAATTTAGTCAGTATGATGTTTGCTCACTTTGAAAGATTATTGATTGGATTTTGAAAATTTTGATTTTTTTTATACCTAAAAACAGTTGAATTAATACTATAAAAGATTACTTGAATAGTGATATAAATTCAATTCAATAGTATAATTTAAGTTTTCTAAATTCTTTTTAGTTTTTTGTATTTTTTTTTAATTTAATAGATTATGAGTTGGAATGATAATGAATTATTATTCTTATTAGTTAATTGCAAATTATACAATTACTTTTAATTAATCTTTCTTTATAGTCAACTGTGAAGAAAGAAGTTACTCATTATTTGGAGCCTGGTCATTGGTTTTTGTCATTGTACAATGATGATGGCGATCCTCAAGAAGTCACTTTTATTGCTGCGATCTCAGAAGACATGACACAAAGTTGTCCTAGTGGCTGCAATGGTAAAGGACAATGCTTAATTGGTCATTGCCAGTGTAACCCTGGTTTCGGTGGTGAAGATTGTAGTGAAAGTAAGTTCATAAACTTTAAATATATATATATATATATAATAAATAAATAATAAATATATATATATATATATATATAGATATATATATATATTAAAATACCCAAACCCTCTGATATGTGTGTGTGTGTGTGTGTGTGTGTGTGTGTGTGTGTGTGTGTGTGTGTGTGTGTGTGTGTATATATATATATATATATATATATATATATATATATATATATATATATATATATATATATACTAAAAAAAATCCTTGATTGCTCTCATCACCTCAATGCCAATGATCACCAAATTTATCTCCAACAGTTTCATCTCTTGGTTCCAGTCTTTTTGCTTTCAACATACTCAAGCAGTTTCTTTTCCCCCAATTAACCTCTCACTATCTGCATATCTTTCTTTATCCTCTGGAGTTTCCAAGGTTTGAGCATATATTCTCTTCTTTTCAACCCCTATATTAATGACCTTAATGAATCAATCCTTCATTGTTCCCATCATCTTTAAGCAGACAACTCTTAAATCTATCTGTCCTTTTCTCTCTCTAAGTTTTATGTTGTGTTTGCCAACATTCCAGAAGAGTTAGGACATTGTAAATGGATTAAGGTTAAACACTGCAAAAACTCTGGCCATTGCCATTAGTTCCAAACCCTTTTTCAGATATAATACCAACTTTCCTAAATAACCCTTCCATCACTTTCATCTTCTCAGTTAAAAACTGGAATCAATATATTTCCCATATATCCCAATGATCAATTTGAACTCTAATGCTATTTCATTGCTTTTCCATCTTCCACTTACCCCACACATAGACTTATTTTCCTCCTTCATCTTCCCCAACCTTTACTATGGATGCGTCGTGTATGATGATCTTTTGGCAGATTTCATAGGCAGACTCAAGAGAATTATGCATAGCTTAGTACGACTCGTTAATGGGATCTTGAGATGTTCCAGTATTTCTTACTACCAAGCTGAGTTAGGGAGGCTCTTCCCCTGCTTCAGAAGACAATAATTCCTAGGCACATTCCTTTATCAAATAATCAACAACTATTGCCCCTGCAACTATATCCCTATAAGTCCTCCATCCACTGCCATGCCACAAGATCTCGACCCCCTCGCCTTTATGCACCTCCTCATAGATCCACCTCATTTCAAAACTCTTTTATTGTCAACTTCATTACTTTTCGGAATTTTCTTTCTCTTAAAATTCTCTATTCACCCTTCTTATCCACCTTTAAAACTTTTCTTTTCCAATTCCTTTTCACAAAGTAATCAGATGTTGGATAATTATGAATAACAAAGATCTATTTTTGTTCATACATAATTTTTTTTGTATAAAGGAATATGATTACATATTTCATATTATTTTAGTCAGAGTCTTAGTGGGCATTGTTTTTGCGGTTTATGTTACAAGACTTTATTTCTTTATAATTTTACTCTATTTATTTTACTCATTTATTTACAATTTTACTTTATCCATTTAGTTATCTGCATTGCATTTTCACTAAGTTATAATAAACTCCTCGATATATTTGTTTCAATCTATGTCATGGTGTATAGACTACCATTATTTTTTTGTTAATTACTATTATGTTTATTTAGTTAAAAAATTCTAAATAACATATGTAAATATTTTTTTTTTCTTAAGATTGTTTGCTTCTACGATTAATTTAACTTTCCTTTTCTGTATTATTTTATTTTAGTAGCAAATATTTTATTATAACTTTCCTCATCTGTTATCTAAAATATTTTTTGGATAACTGCTTATACATATAAATTAGATATTCATTTTAGTTTTTCGTTGTGTAATCAGTCTTAGGGTCAGAATTAATCTTAATTTTTCTGTAAACCTTTGTTAAACTTATAACACTTATACTTTTTTTCATATTATATGATATAAAAATAAATTCATTTTTATCATATATATATATATAAAACCAGAACCATGGAACACAGGGTTGATCTGTCCTATCCTTAAGAAGGACTCCATGTATACGAATGTGGCAATTACAGAGGCATAGCACTTCTTCCGGTTGCCTATAAAATAATGACTAATATTCTGCTAAATCGGATATATCGGTATTATGAAAACATAATAAGTGACCATCAAACAGGATTCATGAGAGGAAGGAGTATGCTAGATCAGATATTCATCCTAAAACAAGAAGGGGAAGTAGATGAGGAAGTACACACCTTATTTGTTGACTTCAAAGCAGCCTATGACTCCGTGGACAGAAACTGTCTCAGGAAGATCATGACTGAGCTGGGTGTTCCTGATCTGTGAGGACTCTAAGTCATTCCTGAAATTAGACAGATTCAAATACTTTGGCTCCACAATAACCTCAATAAATGTTTAACTAACAGAGAGAACCAGCGAATAACAAGTGCGAACAGATCTTTCGTCTCTCTTTCAAGGGTACTGAAATCCAGAAAAATCTTCAGAAATCTAAAAATAAGGATGTACAACGCCATGATTAAGCCAGTTCTGCTGTAAGGTTGTGAAACCTGGGCTCTAACCGGCACACTAGAAGCCAGAATAGAGAGATTCAAAACAAAAGTTCTACGTAGGATAACAGGACCTATATGGGACTAGAACCTTGACACATGGAGGAAAAGGAACAATAAGAACAGCTAAAAAAAAGGGTCAGTCAATATCTCATGACATGAAGGCAAGGAGGTTAAGATGGGTGGGGCATGTAGCTCGTAGTAATCCATCAGGATGCCTTTACACAACAATGAATGCCAGAGTAGTAGGCAAGAGACCACGTGTGAGGCCAAAGACCTGATGGATAGATAGAATAAACTAAGATATGGCTGAGCTTCATGCCGCAAACTGGAAAGCAGTAGTCCAAGATAGGCAGAGGTGGAGAAGGCTGGTTCAACCCCCCCAAAAAAAAAAAAAATATATATATATATATATATATACATAAAACAATTATTTTATTGATTCTTTTGGATACCTATTGTGAATAATGGTTACTTTAGAGATGAAATATAAAAATAAATTTAAATGGTTTATTATCATTCTTTGTTTTTTTGGAGTAATAATAATTTTATGGTTAATTTAAAAATAATTAGATATCATATTGCATAAAATATTAATTATGATCACGGACTAAAAATGTTTCATTGCAAAATACAAAGTAAATGATTATCTGGAAAGTGTCTATTACTAAAATTACAAAACCCAGTTTTTTTGCTTGTATGCTTTGGAACTTTTACTTATCTGATTTTAATTATTTTTCAATTTCACTTTATTAATATTGTTATTACAATGTTCTGCATTATAGGTGTATGCCCAGTATTATGTAGCCAAAGAGGAGAGTACATAAATGGCGAATGTCAATGTAATCCTGGCTGGAAGGGAAAAGAATGTAGTTTACGGCATGATGAATGTGAAGTACCAGACTGTAATGGACATGGCCAATGTACCAATGGAAAATGTGTCTGTGCTAGAGGTTTTAAAGGAAAATTTTGTGAAGAAGGTTAGTGTAGTTATTGTCCTTACATAGGTATTAATTTTATTGTATCTGGAGTTTTAGAAAAACTCCCCAATTACTTAGTTCTCGATAAATTAAACGTTTTACTAGGGAACATTCAATTTTAAATATAGAAATATTTATTTGATTTAATAAACTAAGTAACAACTATTGAATATCTTGTTGACTAACTTATGACTAGAGACCGGATTTTCGTGCAGTAAAAATCTGGAAAATGTGCAGTAAAAAATTCAAAATGTGCAAAATCGTACAGTATAAATCCAAAATACATAAAATTGTGTAATTAACACCTAAAAACGTGTAAAATCATCAATATTGTTTAATTTATAACATTAACACTTCGAAATCAGATCTTTAAATCAGATAATTATCAGATCTTGAGTTAATCGAGAGATAAAAAAAATAAAAATAAAATGTAACATTGAAAATGAAATTCCAGATTATAATCAACTATTATAATAACGGTTATTATCAAATAATGCAGAGCATTGAAGGTTTGAAAGAATAAATGAAGGCAGGAATAATAGGTGCCTATGTATATACTACATATATCAGACCAATTTTAGATATATAACTTTTATTAAAACTTATAATGAAAACTTTATTTTTTAATAGAGTTGAAGTTTCCATTATTATACATTCTCAAACGTTTTTGTTAAAATTTAAAATAAACTATAATGTTTGAGATTTTCAAGTGTTCAAGAATTAGTGTTGAAGCTGTATTCTACACCACTAAAAAAAGTATTTTTGAGGATTACGAATAAAAAATAAACATTAAATTCTTTGATAAGAATATTTTTTTCTTACTTGTTCCCCAATTAGCGTCTATCAGTGATTTCTTATCATCTGATTGATTCATAAGGTGTATAGAACTTTCTCATCAAATTCTTTGTCCTAACATTTCAAATCGGGGTATTTCTATATTCAGATTTTAATTTTAAGGGAGACTAGATTTTACTTTCAGCAATATAATTTTTTTTTATAAGAATAAAATTTCCACGAATCAATTCAAAGCCTGAAGTGATACTGAAGAGTTGAACGGTGAGTGAAGATTCAAGCCAAAACAATAACTATAAATGTCTTAATGACAAAGCAGCTTAGGAAAGCTTATCCAATACTTTGGGCAATTTTTATTCCAAGAATAGATCTCACATGTGTTTACTTCTTTCTATCTCTTGTAATGAATACAAATTTTGCTTCACACAGAATTATTTGCCTTCCTTATATTTTTCTATTTAGAATCATGAATTTAATTTGAACAATATTGTAAAATAAAAAGCAAAATAAATATTAGTACACTCACTTATACATTTGTATTTATAAATCGTCTAGTGCGAAAATTCGCAATTTAATGCAGCAAAAATCAAAATCGTGCAATTAAAGACAAAAAGGGCAAAATGTGCAATTTTGTGCAACATGAAATTTAAATATGTTATTCTTTAGGTTCTGAAATGGATAGATGTTCGAGTCCGGAGTTTTGACATGCAAGCGAATAAAAAGTGCAATAACATGGAAATCTGGTCTCTACTTATGACCATTCCTTCAGGTTCACAACTTTCATTATATGATTATTTTCCTTCTACACATTAAATAGAAGTATATTGCTGGGTCATTTGGATCAGGAAGACTTTTATTTGCCTCTCTTAGAAAACAAAGGAAGTTACACATAATTCTTTTGTAGTAATCTGAATCAAATGTTGTTGTCCATTTCTTTACCTACAACTTAATCTCACTTTCTGTTGGCTGTTCATCACTCTTACTTCCATTTTTATTTTCTATTGGCTATAGTTTGATCATATTGGCTTTCAGAGAGTACCTCTTTGATTTACGGATTATTTTCAAATGCTTCTCATGATATATTTATGTCTGGGAAATGTGGGTTCATTCAAAGAAATGAAAATAGTTCATTCAAATATAAGAATAATAAGAATAAGAATAGCTGAAAATTTTCTGTTTGTACTTGTTTGCATTTTTAAAAACATCTTCAAAGGTCTTAATTTCATATTCTTATTCATATTCATATTCATATCTTAATTTCATATTTTTCTGAAATATATAAAGAAGAATATGATTAGGATCTTTATTTCTTTTATTATCAAATATAGGTAAAATAATAATCTCAGCCATTACTATAAAAGTGATTAAAAATAAAAATATATTTATAGGAGTTTTAAGCAGGTTTCTCCCTCCAAGAAACCCTGTTGGCCACTGTACTTAGCTAAGCTCTTGTTTTTATTTTTGCTTTCACTGAGTAAAATAAACAGGCGATAGTCTTAGTTCTTTTTCGTATTTAATCAACATGTACCAATATTGAATAAATATTTGTTCATTTAAAAACATATCTGATTTTAATATTTGACAAGGGAGAAGATTGGGGAATTATTATTCTATGTCATATTAAATTAAATCAATCTACTTAATTCTTAATTGCTTAAGAACTTTCTACAGTTAAACTTTTAAATAAAAGGAGTTTAAATCAAATGAAATAGCCAACACAACCTGGTCATCTGTCATGCTTATTTCTCTGAAACATAAGAGTGTCAATAGCACATTTATTTGTTAGCCAATCACTTGTAGATGTTTAGGACTTATGGCAAATGTCTAGCATGTAATGGCAAGCAAAAAAAAATTACCTTTTTCAATTTTACCATTATATATCAACTGTGGGACGAAAAAAAAGTATTTATAATTGCTGTATTTATAAAAAGTGACATTAAAATTATTATTTTGTATTATAGCAGTTTTTAAATGTATTATATAAATTTATTAGTGAAAATATTGGACAAATAGAACTGAACTGAGAACTGTTTCTATATCTGTTGCTAGGAGCTGTTTAAATTAAACAGCTTTCCCTATCGGGTTTAGAAAACTGTTTACGTATCTGTTGCAATAAGCTGTTTAAGTGAAACAGGTTTCTGTATCTGTTTCGGAAAGCTGTTTAAATTAAACAGATTCATTGTTTCCTTCTTTTCCCATTGGATTCACTGTCTCCACCTACTAACCTGTAAAGTGAGTTGTCTTCGGTAGGTTCCTAAACTCAGCACTGAGTTCATCTATGGCTTCGTTATGCTCTATTTAGAGATATATTCGATGGCATCGATGAGCTCAGTGCTGATTTTAACAACAACCTGTCCCCTTCTAATGTAAAATAATCCTTGCAACTGTTTAATATTGAGTGAAACAGTTTACTGTATCTGTTTAATGAAATAAACTGTTGAAATTGAACGGATTACTACTGAACAACCCACCACTAATACCCACCTATAGCAGTTCAGAGCCTAGGAAATTAGGTCCAGCTTGTTACCACTTGAGGCGAAGCCCAGCTACTTACTCCATGTGGTCAGACTTGATCCAGTTTTGTATTCACACTAAATGACTTCATATTACCACCTATGTCAATTTTCACAATGGTAGGGTGCCCAAGTAAAAATCCTTTCTTTATTAATAACAGGGTGATGATGTTACACAGCCACTTCACCTAGCAAAACTCCAATATGCTTCATAATCAAACTCGTACCATGAATTATATCAAATATATGTTATGCATTTCAAGTGCGAAGTATTTGGTAAATATATATTTTATGGCACTATGCTGTTAGTAGGATTTTTAATTTTTTTAATTTCCTTAGATCCTGGGTGACTATTTATAGATATTTTATTAAATGGAAATAGAATATGTAAATAATAATTGATGTTTTAATTTAAAATATAAAGAAATTTGTCATATCTGACTTTTATCATTTTGTTGCTAATTTAAATACCCTTTCAAACTGCAATTACAACTGGGTTATTCTATTCTGTTTTTGTTTTTTTCATTGAATTTATGTATATTTTGTGACAAGTAACTGGTGTTAATGCTATTTGAAATTATATATCATTCATTTTTTTTATTTCTGAATTTGTTACTAAATTACAGTATTTGTACATTTTATAGTGGACTGTCCACATCCTACTTGCACTGGACATGGATTTTGTGCTGATGGAATTTGCTTATGCAAGAAAGGCTGGAAAGGTGCAGATTGTAGTGAAACTGACAATGAAGCTCTTCAATGCCTTCCAGATTGCTCTGGTCACGGCAAATTTGATGTTGAAACACAAACCTGTATCTGCGAGCCTATGTGGTCAGGCGAGGACTGCTCCAGAGGTGAGAGGCGAAAACATTTCATAGGTACGCTATCGTACCTACTTAACTTTTGATCCAAATAATTGGAAAGAATTTGTGATAAATTCCCCAATAAATAACACAATTTTTCCAGTAACACAATTTTTAAAACGTTCTTTGATCAATTAAGTTGATGATTGTTTGTTGTTTTAATTATTTATAAACAAGTTATAAAAACAAATATTTATTTAATTATCTTTTTTTCAGAGCTATGTGACTTGGACTGTGGGATTCATGGACATTGTGTTGGTGATGCTTGTGTGTGCATGTCAGGATGGGCTGGAGAATATTGTAACATGAAACAATGTGATGCAAGGTTAATTAATTGTTATTAATTCCATAATCCTTGGCTAGCTAATAACATTTTAAATAATGTTCTTATTTTTATTTTTTACAAAACACTAATTAATTTTTAATGTTTTTGTTCATAAAATTTGTTTCCAGTTTTCTTATTTGCTTATAAGAAAATGTTCAGATTATATTTTTCAACATTTCGAGTTTTTTAACCACGAGTTTTTTAATAATTCTGAATTTTGGAACCACAATAATGATTAGAAATTAAAAACTTCACTTATTTTAAACATTAGCATATCTTTAAAATATTTAAAAATTATTTTATATGTTAATTTGTGTTATATTGGTTTCTTCTAATTTTCAAAGGTTATTTTGAATATTTTCTAACAAATTTTCACTGTAATGTTTGCATAAGTGACTCTTTTATGTCAGACACTAAATGGGACTTAAAATAATGCTATCCTATTAGCTAATCCTTTAAATTGATACTACTTATTGTCAACCTTTACACATAATTCAGCTGTCAATCTTTGTTCATCTATTCCTCAAACAATCTTCCTATGGTCTAGGCTTTACCAATTGAGAAACATGTTGGCACAGGTTTTTTTTTGCTATTTCTATTCAATGAAAGTATTGGAAAACTATTTAACATTTTTAAGACCATTAAAACTACCAGAAAAATTGTAGCTATGATACTTGTAGAGGTATACAGTGGACATCCATAAATAAGTTGTATCATTAGTTCTTGGAATCTAGATTGAGCTACAACTTTATTTTTTCATAGATGCTCTTTCCTCCTCAAGACTGAATTAACTTTAATCAAAATGTAATTCTTTTAAATTAATATTTTAAGGATTTTGGAATTCATACTCAGGTTTCTAGGTTCATTAACTGTAATGCTGCCTAGTATGCCACCGAGAAAGCCTTTTTCCAATGCATATTATTCAATACTCAAATAACTTTTATAGTTATTACTAATCAGTGCATATGTTTTATTGATTTTATGTTTTATGTTACCCTCTTAAAAAATTTGAATTTGATTAATTGGAAACTAGAAACCAATAATTACCACATTTAAAACTGTTCTTGTCAAAATTAAACTCATATATCATTGACAATAACATAAATATAAAACAATAATTTTATAACATATCATATACCTATAACTTTCTTATGCTTTTAATTTGGTCTTAGTTAAATACCTATTCCACTTGAACAGACCAAATGTAAATTAACACGCCATATGTTTTATCCATATGATTTTTTTTTTACATTTATTTGAATTATAATATTACAATAATAGTGCATAATTGTAGATTGTAAAAGATATATTATAGAGACATTGGTTGATATTTTGAGTCAATGAAAATACAAAGTAAAATAAATAAATTATATTTATTTTAATTTCCTTTATGCTGACATTTCAGCTTAAGTTCTGGACCTTCATTAAGGCTACACAAAGACAAGATAACATATAAATTAGAAGATATATTGAAAATAATTTGGTTGTGGTTTTCAGTCAATGAAAATACAAAGTAAAAATAAATAAATTATATTTATTTTTATTTATTTTGTGCCGACATTTTGTCTAATAATATGATTATAATATCAATATGTAGAAGAAGGGTTGCTTGTATAATTTAATATACATTTCCTTATTGGAATTTCATTTTTATCTTGAATTACTTAATCTTACTGAGGGTAAAATTGAATTTTATATCAACCGGCATTATCAGCCAGTTTCCATAAGTTCTAATTCTCATCTTACTAACCCTTATTTATCTTTAATCAGTAATAAATTTTGTTTTTCTTGACTGTTAATATTAGAACTTTTTTGTTTATAGTCGTTCCAAGACTCCCACTGAAGTCCTATATACCACATATTAGAACATTACCATTTATTAATTTAATGCTGTAAATGTGATCTTATTTTAATCATGCTATGACCATAATACACTTTTCTTATTTTATTGAGCCTTAAACCAAGCAATTCCTATTATACAAAAACTCATACAATGCAAATGCATCGCACAGCTTTCACTTATCACCAAACTTAGAGTAGAAATATCTATTTTTATATATAGAGAAGTAAAAATTATAGACAATATAACATATTCATTTAAAACAATTAACATGTATTTCCAACCCACTGAATCTGTTAATTTACATTTACATAACTTTCCATTTCCTTTTAGGACTATATAATATTTAATAATATTAATGACTGTAGGGAAAATTGGATCTTATGGAAAAATTGTGAGCATTATCCAAAACATTTACCATAAAATCCATAATATAAGTGAAATATAACAGTTAACCTAAAAACAGTATCTGTAAATGGAGAAGGTCGCCGAAGACAGGACACTATTGGCTGTTTTCATAGATTCTACTTATCATCTTACTAAGATACAATAACTTGTATTCTTTATTATATTTAACCATTTGTTATTACTATTTACTATGTGAAATGGTTATTTTTTTAAAATAAACATATTTAAAGATAATATAGAAGAAGACATTTTAAAAATTCAGCATTTAAGTCATCAGACTATTTTAATGGGGATAATACCTACCTAAATCCTCTTGATTTTACATTGATATAACAACTTTAAACACAATTGTTAAAGGTGTTTTTGAGAAAATTGTTGGAATTGTCATATGTTGGATATAAAGTTTCACTTCTATTATTGTTAGTCTATTGTTGTGAAAAAGTTGCTGGAACATCCGAGGCATATAACTATCCTAGATAGGTAATTTCAGTTTAGAGCTAGGCTGTTCACACACGTGTGTTATTTAATTTTAAAAGTAAGTTATTGAGATATTATTCATAATTTTAAAATATTCTAGAGAGTATATTGTTGTTGATAATGATTTTGCACTTGTTTTTATCAGATACATATTTTATACATGATTAATTCGAAAATGGACATGTGTCCCAAACGTTCTCTTGCTTAGAGAAATAAATTCATTTATATTAATTCATTCAGATTATAAAAATAAATACATTAAAGCTCATATATGGCTTGCATGATTATAGGTGTAATGACCATGGACAGTGTAAAAATGGAACATGCTTGTGTGTCGCTGGTTGGAATGGAAAACACTGTACACTGGAAGGTTGCCCACATAGTTGCTCTGGCCATGGTCAATGTGCAGTAAATGCTGATGGTTTATGGGAGTGCCGTTGCTCAGGAGGTTGGGATGGTGTTGATTGCAGTGTTTTATTGGAGCAGAATTGTGATGATGGAAGAGATAATGATAAAGGTAAGGGTTTAACTTTAATATTTTGTTTACCTTTGTAATTTCTAATTATTTCATGTTCTGATTCAGGATATCGTTTTCCAATTTCTTTTTGTTTTGTATGCAGATCTATGAAAAAGCCATATATATATATATATAACTTGCACTTTATATAAATTTCTAAAAATTCTGCTTGTATTTTCTTCAAGTAGTTCATGTGTTCTTATTGAATATTTCAATCTTGCTTTTCAGAGGTTGATCTTTAGGGACAAGATGGCAGTTTTTGAATTACTTGCTCCTCTTGTTATGGTAGTTTCAATAGCTGAACTGTAAAAATTAATCATTTTCTCTGAGTTTTATTCTATAAATTATAAATAAATAATAAATAATAAGGCTTAGCGAACCCGAAGGTTCGATGCCGACACCACCAATCGCTTGTTACACACCTCCCTCCACCGTTCGCCGTCCAAACCCAGTCCCTTCAGATCGGCTTTAATGCAATCTTCCCACCTTCGCTTCGGTCTACCCCTCGGACGCTTACCATTCGGCACAGCAAATATTAACCTTTTAGGAATTCTCTCGTTAGTAAGCCCAACAACTTTACAAGCCCATTTGATTCGCCGCGATGAAATTACATCAATTATATTACCCGGATACAGCTCACACAATTCGGCGTTGTGTAGCCGTCTGAACTCTCCGGTTAACTCATCCTTCTTCGGTCCGAATATTCTACGCAATACTTTATTTTCAAAAACCTTAAGACGCTGCTCATCCCTTAATGTAAGTGGCCAAGTTTCGCATCCATAAAGAACTGTAGGCAAGATAATTGTTTTATAGATTCTAATTTTTAAGTTCCGGGACAAAAGGCGCGAACTAAGTAGTTTTGTCACAGAAAAATAACAAGCATTTCCCGCCTTCAATCTAACTTTAATCTCTTCTTCAATTTCGTTTTTTCTAGTTATCGTTGAACCTAGATACCTAAATTTATCTACCTGTTCAAACATATTACCATCTATATCGATGTCACCAGTAGTATCGCCATTTTTGCAGCTAACCATATATTTTGTTTTATCCACGTTTATTTCGAGTCCTAGTTCTTTCCCGGCTTTCATTAACGTTGTCGTATTTAGTTTTATAGTTTCAACGTCTTCGCTTAACAGTACCAGATCATCAGCATAGCCCAGCACGGATGTTGTCCCTCCCAGATCCAACCCTTTCTCGGTTCGCATTACCTCCCTAATGGCATGTTCTAATGCCAAATTGAACAGGACAGGCGAAAGTGAATCCCCCTGTTTTAAGCCCGAACGAACCTCAAATTTTTCGGACAAATTATTACCGATTCTAACTTTATTGAGTGTCTCCGTCAAGCACATCCTGACTAGATTTACTATTTTTTTTGGAATCCCCTGCTCAATTAGAATATTATACAGTTTCTGGCGGTCAATAGAATCGTAAGCCTTTTTAAAATCTATATACAGCTGGTGAACAATACCTTTGTACTCCAATTTTTTCTCTAATATTTGCCGTAAAGAAAATATTTGATCAATAGTCGAACGATTCCGTCTAAATCCGCACTGGTAATCTCCGATAATTTCCTCGGCGTATTCCGTGATTCGACTGGTTAAGATTGAAGTGAATATTTTATAACATACCGGAAGGAGTGAAATTCCTCGATAGTTATTACAATCCGTCCTCGGACCCTTTTTGTGAATCGGAATAAGAATAGATTCTTTCCATTCTTCAGGTAATTTCTCGTTCACCCAGATCTTTTTAACCAACCGATGTATTTTAGAAACTCCAGCTTCCCCGCATGCCTTAATTAGTTCAGTAGGAATATTATCGATTCCCGCTGCTTTATATGATTTTAATTTTCCGATAGCTACTTCAACTTCCTCTTTACTTGGTCCTTCTATTAACGGTTCAGCACTCTGGTACTCAGAAGGAGGACACAGATCATAATTTACCGTATTTAAAATATTGTCAAAGTGGTCCTTAAACTTATTCAATATGTCAACCGGATCGGTCAGAATATTGTTATTATCATCCCTAATTCCAGACGTTACGGGCCCTACATATTTACGTGATCTGTTTATATCTTTGTACATGTCTCTTACGTTATTTTCGATTCTATTAGTTTCTATTTCAATTATTTTTAAGATACTCCCTTTTTTTATTTTTGAGCAATTTTGTCGTTTCGTTCTTTGAGATTCGGAAGTATTCCAGATTGTCTTCGCTAGGATTATTTAGAGCTATTAATTTAGCGGCTTTTCTTTTTTCGCACATGGTTAAGCAATCTTCATCAAACCACGGTTTGTTATTCTATAAATTATAAGCACCTATTATATGTTTAATAAAAGTCCAAGTCCATCATCCTTATTTAAATTTTTGAGATGGGTAAGTAGTCGACTTATGAATTATAATAATGAAACAAAATGGTCAGGAATTTGTGTCAAAATTTATTTAATAGGTTAGCCAACGTTTCAACCCAAAACATGTGGCTGATCAACAGCGCTGAAAATTAGAAAATATAAAATAACATCAGTACAATAATAAATAAAAAGTGTAAGAGTAATAAGAGTGAAGAATAACAGTAACAAGATAATAATAATAAGGGTAAAGAATATAATTAGTAAAATGATAAATATACAGGAAGTAAAAGATGAAATTTAGGAATGAGATAACAGTTATAAAAGCATAAAAATAATAAAAACATTGAAATGTGGTAAGAAAATTATTTTTGATTATGTTTACTTCATCATTCCACACTTTGTAACGGTTATTATTATTTATCTCTTAGTTCTTACTATTGTCATTATTCTACCAACTTTATATTTTTTTTTTACCTACACTACTCATGTTTCTCATACCTTGTTATCTGTTTCTTTTTCTTAGTCCTGATGAAGATCTGAACTTCAGGTCGAAACGTCGGCAAATGTCAAAATAAATATTATCATTTATTTTTGCCTTCTTATTTGACTGATCACCCAAAACTATTCTTCTCTTCAAATACTTTTACATTCATCCTTTTACTGTTTTTATTCTTTACTCTCATTACTATTATAATAATTATTTATTCTTTCTACTATTATCTTTTTACTGTTATTCTTATACTTATACCACTTAAACTTTTATATTTATTATTTTACTGATGTTATTTTATACTTTGTAATTTTATTGAAACCCTGATGATGACCCACATGTTTGGGTTGAAATGTCGGCTAACCTATTAAATAAATTTTCGACTGAAATTCCTGGCAATTTTGTTTCATCCTTATTTAAATTGTTTTGTTTCTTCATAATTTTGTAGCTTTTCCAAATCAGCCTACGATCACGGTTCTTTTCTATCTTCCTGAATAAAAAATGTCAGAATATATAATATTGCAATCTATGGAGAAAGCTTAAATACTACATTGTACATAAATTATTTCACACTATGATTAAAGGAAGATATCCAACCTATTCTCTTGTTTTTATCTGCTACATTTTAATAGTGTGACACTCCTAAAATGCAGTACTGCAATAATAATCCTTAATACTATACTCCTCTACTCTCACTTACTAACTTACTTTATATACTACTTTTAACTTATTTTAAGTTTATTACAATTTGAGATATATTAAGAATCTCTGTTTGAGTAGGTGGTTAGTAAAAGGAAACTTACAATGAAATGTATACTTATGTTACTCTATCAATATCTTTAAATATCAAACACAAATCATCTATAAAAGTCTCTATAGCATTAGCATAATTAAATTACTTTGTAAATGGTTTACAGATGGTTTAGTTGATTGTGAAGATCCTGAATGCTGCACTATTCCTCATTCTCCATGTCGAATCAGTCAGCTCTGTGTTTCAGCACCAAAGCCTATTGATACCCTTATGAGGAAACAATCACCAGCTATCACAGCTTCTTTCTTTGAACGAATGAAATTTCTCATTGAAGAAGGAAGTTCACAGAACTATGCTCGACAAGAATCATTCAATGAAAGGTATGTTTTTCATTTATACAGTGTATTGTAAATTCATGTCAAATACAGTATCAAGTATGTAAAAACAGAAGCTAGTAAATGGTTATACAGTGCTATCCATGTAATGAAAATGTTTAGTGAACTTGCATTTATTCATTATCAATATTTCATAAATAAATTTTGCCATTTCAGTACATATTAGTGGTTCAATTTTATCACAGTTCGTATAACCATTTCCTATCTTTATTCATTCAAATGTTTATTTATTTGTTTAAGAATGCCACTTTTGGTAAATGTGATCCATTGCTACCTATAGTTAACTACCCTTAGTTTAGACATGTATATGTCAGTTATAAATTTTTAAATATCTGTTTTCACTTTCTCTCTTGTTGCTTTATTGTGCCCTTTGTGAATCTCTCTCCCATTCAATTCACTTCATTTTTAAAATACCATAGTTGAAAATAAAAGCATAATTTAAAAATATAGCTGATAACCAATATTTTCAACAATGGTTTATTTTACTTCATGTTAATTAGGTTTGTAATGTTGTGAAAATAGATGTTCAGAGTGTATACCGTTGTATTACCTATATATTATCAATCACCATGAAAGCATATTCAAATAGAAATAATAATAATAATTAATTAGCTAACATGGTATTGACATTCTCTTCTTAATGCTGCTAGTGTGTTTTGGAATCACTTCAATGCGAGGTAAGATAATAACAGAGCTAGGCAACACTTTCACTAAATTGCATTAAATTTTTGTGATTTCAATTGAATCTAGTAAATCAATTATTTTAAAGTCTGAATGTTTCAATAAATCTAATTTGACCTTCAAGAGTTTAATGGTAGTGTTTCTTCAGTTTTGAAAATTTAATTATTTTCATACTATGGAATTAAATTGACGATAAATTTATATGTTTAATGTTAAAATGTGTGAATGATGATTAATGATTCAATTGATGTCTTAAAGCATGACTTATATGTGTTAAGGTGATGGTTAAATTTGTATTATTCAGTTTAGTGTTTAATTTTTCAACTATTTTCTCATTGCAAGATGTTATGTAAAATCAATACTTAATTACCTATCTGGCTCATTATAGCTTTCCCTACATAATTTATAAAATTAGCCAAAATAAAATAAAAAATTAAAATTAATATCTGTAAATAAAATTATTTGTCATGGATAAGTTTCTTGTGAACCAATTCAGGGAAATCTTGTATGGAATGGTTTAAGTGCATGCTGTATATGTTATCCTATATACCTTCCCTTGCCTTGATCCTAGTGTTTCGTGACTTTTTAGTTTGCTTCTTTATATTATTTATATACCTTTATTTATGTTTATCTTTTAAAATTGTTTGTTTCCTACAATATTTAGCTTCTGTTAATTACCAAATGATGCCATTCAAAACTATCCAATAGTTGATATTAATGAATGGGAAAGTTGTGTTCCTATTAATTCTGTAGCTCTTACTGTTAAATTTTAACTGTTAGAGTTAAATGGCATGCCATCAATGGATTTTTTTTTAATAAATAAAAGAAACTTTCTTGATGGACCACAAAAATGGTTTTATCAATCAATACTTCTTTCTTCTTGCATTTTCTTAAATTCAATAATTATTTTTTGTTCCTTCAATATCAATTTTACAGTATTTTTTATTTAGACATTTTCTGTTTCTTTAATTATTTAATGTTAAGTTCCCTTTATATAAATAATTTTCAATCATTGAACATGAAATGTAGAATTTTTATTATAAACTAATAATTAAAATTTTAATTAGATATATAAAATATAATCTTTTTGTATATTTGAAAAGTTTATTATTTATAAAAATTATTTTAAATAGTTTTCATATTAAATCTAATTCCCCCCAAAAAATTATTCATTTATAGACTTATTATCTGAAACTATCAACATTACATATTAATTAAGAAAACAAATATATATATGTGTGTGTGTGTGTGTGTGTGTGTGTGTGTGTGTGTGGTATAAGGGGAATGCATAAAATATAAACTAAGGATGTTAAACATACACCAATTTACCGTTATGTACTTAAAATTGAACAGTGAAATAGCCATTTTTAATGTTTGGTATATATATGTTTATAAATTTAAAAAAAAATCTAAATTATTCAAATTGTGCATATTTATTGAAAATTAAAGTTTTGTAATTTACATTTTATGAGTAATTTTTGGAAAGAAATATATTTTCATTATAAAACAAGATATGTTTTACTTGTTCTACAATGAATCTGTGGCTGGTGATGTGTGCTAATATGCATTATTAAAACTGGTTCAAACTCTCCAATTGTATCAAGGTTTCTGAAAGAAGAGATCAACATGATCATCTTGGACCCCTATAGTGCTTATATGTGGAATTCTTTTAATATTGTAAACTTATTGTCTGCTATATTACTTATATTTTAACTCACATAATGTCCACTTTGTGCAAGTTCATACACATCGCACTTTATACTCATTACTGTGTTGTGCAATTGAAGGGTCTGTGCACTATTGGTGTGAGTTTAAGCCTATTTGGACAAATTAAGACCCTATTCAACTGTAATCTGAATATTATTGGAAACAGTGTATGACTAATTAGAAATAATATATATTTTAATTTTAATCTGTGGTAATTAACTTTCTTTCAACATATGTCAAAAGTCTTTTCAGATAAACTCTATTTAAAAATCATTACTATGATATTAGCCAAAATAAATTCAAGTTTTTTGTCGTTTATATATTGATTTTGTTTTCACTCAGTTGAATACATTTAAATTGGAAAATTTTACTTGATGTGACATAAGAAAAGGGTGTAACAGTGCGACATTGGAGAGATTTTGTTATAAATATATAAATTTTATAGTGGTTCATTTGCCTATTGGTCATAAATAAATTAATCAAATACTAATTTTTGATTAATTTATTTTTGACCAATAGAAAAATGAACCACTATAAACAGAACAGAGGTCAAACAAGCATAATGAAATATATATTTTATTATATTCCTATTCATATTGAGATCTAGTAATTTACTCTCATCCATTATTTGATTTGAGCGGGGTAGCTCAGTGATAGGGCACTATGCTTCCAATGCTCGAGGTCTCAGGTTCGAATCCTGGACAATAGCAGAAAATTATTTATTCTGTTTAATGGGCTGTGAGGCAACCCTGGGGTAGAGAGACCCTCCTGGAGCACACCCAGCCTCTACAAAGTGGGCACCCATAATTAAATAATTGATTAAGGAGAGAAACCTGACGGTTGAGTGTGATCCTGCCCCGATCCCCTCCCTGTACAATTCTTGGCCTTGAAACAGTACTTTCCCTGAATAGTACTGAACCCAAGACCCTTCATGGGTTCTAGTGGTACAGGTAATATATATATATATATATATATATATATATGAAACACTATGAAATACATGAAAACAACTTTATATCCCAATGTCCTTAGTCAGTTAAATAAAATATTTATGGGCTTTATTAACAAATTATTATTTATTTTTTCTCAGATCAAGATGCTATTTCATTATATTATGTACAGTATAAGAAAAAGTACGAGTCACATTAAAAGTTTCATGTGATCGTTCGTTTCCATGTATTTTTCACAATTAAATCACCCATATAGCTCATATTGGATATTGTTCCACTTTGTCTATCACGCTTTTATGCACTTAATTGTTTGGTCTTAAATGAAAACTAAAACACTTTTTTTCCCCTTTGTTTTGCACAAAAATAATAATAATTCATAATTGTGATTTATAAAGACTTCACCCTCAAATTCAAATTTATATGAAATAAATTTCTATATAATTGATTAAACAAAGATATTAAATAAGGTTCCTATTGAATAAATATATACTGGTGGATACTATAAAATATGTTCAAAGTAAAATAAAAACAGATAAATTCTTCAATCACTTCGACTTATGATTAGATTTTTCTTCAGTATACAGGTTTATAGAAGTTTGTGATTATAATATTAATTTATTTTGTCATTATAATTATTTTTAAATTGGAGTCAATTGGTTATTTATTATGCAAAATAATTTAAAATAAAAAAATACGGTGTTTTGCTCATTGATAAAAAATAAAGTTTTAGAAATTTATCTATTGAACTATAAAAAAAATGACATAAGTAGAATTTTTTATACTATTCTAATTTTTCTAAGAAATTATTTTTTAGAAAATTTGAATAAAAACCAGTGCTCTTGTTATAAATATAAACAAACTCATTCAACTCATTTTTAAATTCCCAGAACAAAATTTATTTTTCTAGTTACGATTTGGATACATTTATTATGAGACATACTTTCATTGATATTGTACTTTTGTAACAAGGTACAACTCAATTTTAGTGCGTCTTATATACTTCAAAACTCAATCAGATATGCTTTAAATGTCTTTAATTTAAACTTTTCTGAATGTTTATTATATTAGTAATATTTTCTATTTAACTAAGTATTCTTAATGTATTTACCTAAATTCGTGCTTATGTGGGCGATCTTGTGTGTTTGTGTGGGTGTGTGTGTTTGGATGTGTCTGTGGGTGTGTGTGTTTGCGCGCATTTGGTAGCAGTAGTAGTAGTAATATTGAAAATAGTTTTATCATGATAGCATTCAAGTAAAAATTAACTTTTTTGTTTAATATTTATTCTACTTTAACTATTTTGTAATTTGGTACCTAAAGAAAGAGTGGTATGCCATTTATCTTTTAAGAGTACATAAATTATAAAATATTAAGATTATTGCAAAAATAGTTATTATGTTAACACAGTATTGTTTAAAATTTGCTGTAAAACACTGTAAAATGTTTTGAATGACATTGTGTTATAGTTTAAGCATTTGAGTTTTACCTTCAGTACAATTTTCATAAGAGATAGGATATCTAAATCTGTTAGTGATATTTACAATTTTTCAAGCTGTAATTGATTTAATTTTCAAGATTTGTTCATATTTAATGTTATATGGTAAATACTTAACAATATATAAAATACTGTATAATATTTTAGTGTTGATATATAATTTAATAAACTTTGAATATTTTAAAACATTCATTTATTATAAGTATTCGTCTATTAGTGTTAAATTATTAGTACATTTATTTAACGTAAAGATATTTATTCATATAGTTTGTACTCTATATTTTATTTTTAATTTAATTTTCAGATAATAGTCCAATTCTAAAGATTTGTTTAAAATTTAACTTCTTGGACTATTGCTTTTTCAAGATTTAATTTTCTAAATAATTTCCATTTATTCTGTTCATTATTTATGTTACTAACCAATCAAAATATTAATTTACAAAATATTAAAGAAATTATTCTTAAACTAATATTATTTTTCAACAATTTTATAGCCGAGCAGGAGTTGTACGAGGAAGAGTTGTAACTTCAATTGGCAGAGGTTTAATGGGAGTAAGAGTAAGCACGTCAACACCAATGGAAGGTTTTACACTAACAAGAGAAGATGGTTGGTTTGATTTATTAGTTAATGGTGGAGGTGCCATTACTCTTCAGTTCGGAAGAAGCCCATTTAGGCTTCAGAGTTACATCGTAAACGTTCCTTGGAATGAAGTGAGTTTATGAAATACCTTCTCGTTATGGTCAATTTATGTTTAAAAAATTTTGACAAAATTCATTAGCAATATAGAGGTATTAATTAACAATATTTAGAACTGTATTTTCATGAACTACAAATTTTGGGCCTGGAACTCAAAATTTCCAATTTTTTTAAGTAGCTGTAATTGATAACAAAAACTAAAAAGCCATACAGTTAAGATTGAAACAGTTATTAATTATGAAAACTTCAAACCAATACTTCAGAAAAAAATATTTAGAAGTGAAATGATAAGAACAAAAATATTTCATAAAATATTTCACTAAACACATCAATTCCATGTTACTGCTGTAGCTCAACTGAAGGGTGGACTATTTTCCAAGGACTTGATATACTTTTCGGGGCTACCATATCTTACTTAAAGAGAAAATCCCTTAAAAAATATATTATACTTCCATGCATAGAAAAAAAAAATCTGTTGGGTGGGGTTGATGATAATACATACCAGGGAAAAAGTTCAGGTTATTCTATAATCATCAAAACATAAATAAAGCTCAAAATACTTCCCTTTTGAACTGTATATACTTTCATCTTTTAGTAATGGAACTCATTTCCAGGAAATAATGGAATAGTTAAACATAACTGCAGTTTAACTCAAAAAAAGTATATACAGAGTAAACGTGATTATGACAATTCACATGTTTGATTAAACAAAAACATAGTCTCTTTTTTTTGTTCGTAAAGTCTAAACAAACGTAATGGATAAAAAAAAATTAAAAAAGGTTGAGATTTATCACCTCAATGTAATGTACAAGTGATTCAATTTTTTCTGAGAAACTCCCATAGTATGAAAAAATGGAAAATAATTAAACAAGTTTAACATCTACTTTTTTAATTTTCAAGAATAGTATTTTAATTTCTATTGGGTAGGTTGATTGTTGTAGTGAGTTAATCACAGTATTTTTAAAAATTAAATTTGTTACTAAACTATCACCAAGCTGAAAATTATTCTTTACATATTAATTTATAAAACTATCTATCATGGAGTAATGGAAGACTCCAATGAGCCCTGAGAAGGAGTGTTCACTTAATGGCATTTTTTTGTAAGCTGAAACATACTTTTCATTGTCTATTTTTTCAGGTTGTTATCATTGACACTATCACAATGTGGGCAGTGGAAGACCATCCTCTTCCTTATTATCCTTTTCCTTGTACAGATCATGATTATGATGTGATGAAACCAGTTGTATTGGCTACATGGAAACATGGCTTCCAAGGATCTTGTCCTGACAAAAGTGCCATATTAGTAGAATCACAGGTAAATTAACTTGTATGTTACTTACTGTCTTGCATAATAGATCTTACTTATAATAAAAGCTTTATTGATATAAAATATTCAATGGATATTAAGTAGTTCCATAAATTAATTAGGATTTTATATCTATATTTTATTGTCCAGTATTTGAACACCTTCAGTTCTTGAAACATGCCCTTGATGAACCACATGCTTGGGTTAAAACATCGGCACCAATAAAAAACTTAAAAATGACTGCGTCCTGACTATTTATCTATATTTTTTTTGTTGTATAGGTTGTACAAGAAAGCTTTCAAATTCCTGGGACTGGTTTGAATTTGGTTTACCACAGTTCTAGAGCAGCAGGGTATTTATCTACTATACAACTTCAGTTAACTCCAGATGTTATTCCTCCATCACTTAAACTAATCCATTTGAGAATAACAATTGAAGGTATATTGTTTGAGAAAACTTTTGAAGCTGATCCTGGTATAAAATATACTTATGCCTGGAATCGACTTAATGTTTACAGGTGAAGTACTATGTTCTTTTGTTGATATTACTTAATGATTATAGTATTTAAAATATATTGACTGTTGTGTAGAAATACCCTGATGAATTGTTTTAACCCTAGAACGACACACTTAAATACGTCAATTCTTTCTGACACTCTGGGGTGTGGTATATCCCAAACTTTAAATTACCTTAAAATTTTATTGTCATTCTCTGGAAAACTCAAATACTTTTCAAAAATAAGCTAAATGATCAGAAAAACAAAAAAATAAAATAAATTCAAGGTAACTTTAAAGAATATATTGTTTATGCTCAAATAAAGTAAAAAGTTAACACCTGCATCGCTAAAACTAAAACTAATATGAATTTTAACCATTATTTTAAATTTCATTCTGACATACACCCCCCAATTTTTTCTTAATTTTACTTTTATTAATTTCTCGATCGTTGATTGGTATAAACTTGTTAATATTTTAAAGCCTTGAAATATTTCTACTTCTATCAGGACACTAAGCTTTTATTTAAGATCTTTCATAAACAGTTTCAGTCCATGGAGTCATTATTAACCAATAATTTCTTCTAAACTCCATAAATAAATTCCTAATATTCTGTTACACAGTATTTGCTATGTTTCATGTCAAACGTTTGCATTGATTGGTTTTTCATTATCAACCCTTTACTGACATTAAATTGTGTATACAAGCAGATACTTCACATAGAAACCGACCAAAAAAAAAAATAAATAAAAAAAATAAAAATGGCTTGTCCAAATGGTAATATTATGATTCAGGTTTTATACTACTTTGATTACAAAAAAAAAAGAATGATTTGTAATAAATATCTTAAAATAATATATCATTTTTAATGACATTAATATATGTACTTGTATTATAGCATGATAACCAATGCCACCTTTAAACCCAGGAATAATGATGTCACCTCCTCCCAAAAAATTAATGTGTTAAGTTAAAATTAAGTAATATTTGAATTTGATTCCATTTAATATGTCTCTGATTCAGTTGTTTTATTAATAGGCTAAAAGTATTTATTATTCTCATATGTTTTGTACATTTTTTTTATCCCTAACAATCGACGGGCTCCCTATTCCAAGTTAGAACCTTGGGGCAGTTGCCGGGTTGCCCAGTCCTAAGGTCAGCAGTGATTATAACCTTGTCCTTCAAGTCTTAAGTTAACAATCAAAAACTTAATACAAAATGGCAAAATAATTATTTACTTTTGGCAATTAGGAAACTTAATCCTAATAGCACTCACTATAATGCATATGGGTAATTTAGAAAATTTCAGTCACATTTGTGCTGATTTTTTTTTTAAAACAAAAAATAGAGAAATAGCTTATTTTCCCCTTATTAGCAATCTTTATAGTTGTCTGAGAAAGTTACTAATATAAGCATATGTAATCATTGACATAGCAATAGACATATTATTAAAAAAAAAAAAATCTATTTTCTTGAGAATTTTTATTTATTTATAAAGGAAATTCATTTGTTGTTTGATTATATATTATTGGTTGTTTCCGATTTCCTTCTAATGAATGAGGAATTGATTGGTATTAAGCAAAACTTTAAGGAGGCATTGTTAGGCTATTGCCAGTCCGTTTAATAGCGATTATTTGTGACATTATTCTCTAGACGTAAACGTTTTCTATGGAATGTAAAACCAAGGATGAAGATTCAGCCTTTCATGGGCACAAAAACTTATTCAGCTTTTGAAACAGTCAATTAAAAATATTCTCAACAAATTACTATCAAACTTCACTCAATGTATAAACTTTGATTAAAATTTACTTATTTTTATTCAAAAACTGGTGCACTAAGAAGGGTATAAAAAAAAAAAAATACTTCAAGACCTTCAATAAAATTACTATTCTCTATGAGTGAGAGAGATCTAGATATGATAGGCCTCAGAGCAGAACAGAATTTTACTTTTCATTCTGTTTCAGGAAACATTTATAAATTTTCTAGGGAGTGAAAATTAACTCTAGTGACTTAAAATGTAGGTGACTTGGTTTCATCAATACTTTTTTTCAAAAACTGTATATCAAGTGCTTCCAAAGAATAGATCATGCAACTAGTTTCAGCTGTTTGTTATTTGATCTTAATATTGTCCAGTGATGTAAATGTGGCTGAAAATTTTAAATTACCAATAAAAATAAAAAGGACAATGAGAATTTAATGTATTTTTGTATTTATATTAACAAAATATTTTTTAATAAACAGGCAACGTGTTTATGGCATCACTACAGCATTAGTGAAGGTTGGCTATGAATATAAGAACTGTAGAAATATAATTTGGGATGTACAAACTACAAAACTAAGTGGACATGATATGAGTATATCTGAAGTTGGAGGATGGAATTTAGATATTCATCACAGATACAATTTTCATGAAGGTTTGGATTTTTAATTTTTTGTTGTTTAATCATATTAGGCAAAAATAATTAGTATTGTAGTAAGTTATGATTTTATTAATATTATCACTTATATGTTACATTTTATTCATTATTTTAATGATTTATTTATTTTTATTTTTTTATTTTATTAATATATAACATCATCATGAATAGTTAAAAATTGATAAGACATATTTCTTATATAAATAGATTATAGTTTATTTTTCATTTATTTTCTTTGATATAGTTTGAATTATATGTGCAAATGTTACATTATATGTGCAATAAACAAAATGTAAATAGCTTTTCAATAGTATAAATTAATATTATGTAATTACAAAAAAAATAAATATAACTTGTTTATTTATAGAATATTATAACCTATTTTTCAATATCAAAAACTGTATCTGTATTTAGAATGTTTCCTACAATACTACAGATTACCCACTGCTCTTGAAAATTTCAGGATGTGTTAGTATACCTTCATTATTCATATACATTTGGATTTTGACCGGATTTTGAAAACTGAAGAAGTAAACTTATTTTTTTTTTATATTCACGCCTGATGAGAGGGGAAGGGCAGCCGGGACTCCAAAAGTTCTACAATTTTTTAGTTTTTAACTTATAAATTTATATTAAAATAAAGTATAGATAACATAACATAGATTATATAATAATTATACATTGATTTATTAATGTATTAATTATATATATTTACTAAAATCTTTATGTAATATTTTTGTGCCTGCCTCATAAAAGGCTTCATTTAGATTTTAAGAGTAAATTAAAAAAATGAAATAAAAAACCTATACCACTACAGCCCATGAAGGGTCTTGGGTTCAACACTATTTAGGGAAAGTACTGTTTCTTAGTCAATGGTTGCGCAAGGAGCTGATTTGATTGAGATCATGCTCAACCGCTATATTTTTCCCCTTAATTAATTATTTTATTAAGGGTACCCACTTTATGGAGGCTGGGTGTATCCCAGCAGGGTCTCCTGATCCCAGGGCCGCCCCGCGGCTGATGATACAGAATAAATAATTTTTCTTTCATGAGCCGGGCTTCGAACCCGGAACCTTGAGCATTGGAAGATCAGTGCATTGCTATATAGTAAAATACACTAAATTTTCTTTAACAAGAAGTAGAATTTATTTTTGTCAAAACCATAGGAAGGAGACTTATTAGCAGCTATTTTCTATAATTTCATTTGTTTTACCCAAATTAAATATTTTGTTTTACAATTTCTTTTAAATAAAAAGTATGTTTTAGTAATTCATTTATTGCAATACATCCAAGGAGAAAGGGGGAAGCTGTATAACAATTTAATGAAATTATTTGTACTAAAAACACTGTTTTTTTAAGGGGTAGAATTTCATATTTCATATTTTTTAAAACAAAACTAAAGGTGATTCTCATTAGCTCATCCTGCAATAGACCTCATCTTAATTCTCATAGAGTTGGGGCTTATTAAAAAAGAATGTTTTTCTAAAAGTGGGGAATTTGTAGTCCATTTAGAGACTGAAAAAATAAAATAAAATTATATTGCTGTTCATGATTAAACTGAGAAGTAGTGTTTTATTGATCACAACCAATCCCCAACAAACTTATACTGAATATTGTAATTTTAATTTATATTTAACAAAATTCTAAATTTATGTTACAGGAATTCTCCAAAAGGGAGATGGAACTAACATATACTTAAAACACAAACCCAGGGTTGTTAAAACAACATTAGGTGATGGGCATCAAAGGCCTCTTGACTGCTCAGATTGTGATGGGACTGCAGGAACTAAGCAAAGACTTTTAGCACCAGTGGCCTTAGCTGCAGCTTCAGATGGTTCTATTTATGTAGGAGATTTTAATCTTGTCAGAAGAATAATGATAGATGGAACAGTGAGAACTGTAGTCAGATTGAAGTAAGTATTTTTATTTTGAACAATTTTATCAATTAATATATTTATTCCATCTGTAGATCTATGGGGAAGGGAGGTGCCTTTAATTTTTTTTAAAAATCTTTTTTTCATATTATTATTTTAATTTATGTCTTTTAATTGTCCGTTTGTTGTTAACTTCTTTTCAGTGTCACTAGAGTTGCATATCGTTATCATATTGCTGTAAGCCCATTAGATGGATCATTGTACATTTCTGACCCAGAATCACATCAAATATTGAGAGCGAGAAACCCTGATGATTTCTCTGATCCTGAGCATAATTGGGAAACGGTTGTAGGCTCTGGAGAAAGATGTCTACCTGGTGATGAAGCTCATTGTGGAGATGTAGGTCTTGCGAGGGATGCTAAATTAGCTTATCCAAAAGGTGATCATTTGTTTATTTTAAATATTTTCATATTTTTTAGTTAGGCAAATAATATTTTATAATTTTTTGACGATAATTATTAGCATCTTGAGAATAATTTAAAATAAAACATTTAGTAATAAATTACTGAAATATAATTACACACTGTTATCACACAATGTCATTGGAAAAGAATAGACTATTTAAATAACATAAGTAAAAGAGATTTAGTGACTTCAACTATTGACATTAATGTATTCAACTGAAAAATCATTTCCTACAATAGTATCCAAGTTTAAGACTACCAAATGTTGTGAACATAATGCGCTAGAAACAAATGAGGTAAGAGGCATATCAATCATCTGATACACATAAGATATGTTTATAAAATGATTATGTTCTGAGATTTGTTACATGGAATCAATACATTATCAATGTATGTAACATCATAATGTTACCTAGTCCTGCCATACATATTGTTACAAGGAAATATATACCGATTTTCAAAATATTGTCCTGATAGTTTTTAGTGGCTTTTTTACTCCTTTTTCACCTAAATGGAGTTGTTTTTTTTTCATCAAAGCAAAATCCCCACCAAACCATCACTGAGGAAGGGTGATGACCTCTTTCCACTCTTTTAATGACTTCCTGGGCTTCTTTAGAGCTGTATGCATACACACGATCATTTTGGCGATTAAATTTTTTTTCAATTGTAAAAATTTTCTCATCGCTAAACAAAATCTTTCGATGAAAACCATTGGTGTAACGGCCAAGGAGCACTTTGCATCTATCCACTCTAATTTTTTTTAGGGAAGTGGTTAGCCTTTGTCCTGTCATTCTTCGAAATGCACCCATCCTAAGGTCACTTTTTATTATGCGAGACATTGATCTGACAGAGATTCCCATTTCCGAGACATGATTTGTTGTTTTCGAATGGGATTTCTTCTGATTCGAGCAGCCACTGCTCACTGCATTTGCCGTTCTCACAGTGCGGGGAAGGCCCGGTCGAGGTCTGTCACATACAGATAGGGTCTCATTATATCTATTTATAGTGCGGTACACGAACATACGGCTGATACCCAAAGGTTTCAAAGTGTTGAAAATCTCTGACCTACATTTTCCAACTTTGTGTAAGGCGATCACAGCTATTCGGTTTTCTTTATCACCCCACTCCATGTTAACTGAGCGAAAGAAAAATACAAACTAATTGGGATTATTATCCTGACATGTAAAGAAAATAACCTGATAGAGGTAAGGATTATCTAAATAATACCCAAGGATGTAAACAAAGTTCAACTTTTGTAACAGTATTTATGGCAGAACTAGGTATATTTTCAAATACTTTTTGTATGTAAAAATAATTAGATAGATTTAATGTTACTCGTGATGATTTCTGATGTTGATATTCAAAATTATGTCACAAAAGAGACATATACTTAATAATAAGTATTGAGCTTACTGAGTGCTAGAGATGGGCAGTACTCGATTACTTTCATGATTTGAGTAATTTTATTAGGAAAAAGTATCGAGTAGTTTCTGTACTCGGCCTGCCAGCGGCGAGTACTGAGAGTACTCACGCAGCGTCAATCATGATTTAGTTAAGTACAGAAAATACTCGCGCTGTTATATCGAATTACAGAAAGTACTCAGCCGAATTCCTACAAAGAGTACTTTTTATTTTTCAAGTACTCCGTCATTATTATAAAGAGTAAAAATGTTTTCTTTTATTTCCTTCAATAATAGCGGCCATATTCGACCTGACCAACCCCGAGCCCCCATTAATCGATATTAGACTAACCATCATGTCTTGGGGGGCCCTTTTTATAAAAATATACTGTCGGATTTTAGATAGTGCCCCCGGGCATCGAATTTTCATAACTTTTCCGGTTAAATCGATATCAGGGTCGACTATTATGTTTTGGGGGGCGCTTTTTATGAAAATGCTATCGAATTTGAAAATGGGCCCCCCGGGCCCCGACTTTTTTTAAGTTTTTCGATTAAATCGATATCAGGGTCGACTATTATGTTCTGCGGGGCGCTTTTTATGAAAATGATATCGAATTTGAGATTGGGCCCCCCGGGCCCCGACTTTATTTAACTTTTTGGATTAAATCGATATCAGGGTCGACTATTAGGTTTTAGGGGGTGCTTTTTATGAAAATGATATCGAATTTGAGATTGGGCCCCCCGGGCCCCGACTTTTTTTAACTTTTTGGATTAAATCGATATCAGGGTCGACTATTAGGTTTTAGGGGGTGCTTTTTATGAAAATGATATCGAATTTGAGATTGGGCCCCCCGGGCCCCGACTTTTTTTAACTTTTTGGATTAAATCGATATCAGGGTCGACTATTAGGTTTTAGGGGGTGCTTTTTATGAAAATGATATCGAATTTGAGATTGGGCCCCCGGGCCCCGACTTTTTTTAACTTTTTGGATTAAATCGATATCAGGGTCGACTATTAGGTTTTAGGGGGTGCTTTTTATGAAAATGATATCGAATTTGAGATTGGGCCCCCGGGCCCCGACTTTTTTTAACTTTTTGGATTAAATCGATATCAGGGTCGACTATTAGGTTTTAGGGGGTGCTTTTTATGAAAATGATATCGAATTTGAGATTGGGCCCCCCGGGCCCCGACATTTTTTAACTTTTTGGATTAAATCGATATCAGGGTCGACTATTAGGTTTTAGGGGTGCTTTTTATGAAAATGATATCGAATTTGAGATTGGGCCCCCCGGGCCCCGACTTTTTTTAACTTTTTGGATTAAATCGATATCAGGGTCGACTATTAGGTTTTAGGGGGTGCTTTTTATGAAAATGATATCGAATTTGAGATTGGGCCCCCCGGGCCCCGACTTTTTTTAACTTTTTGGATTAAATCGATATCAGGGTCGACTATTAGGTTTTAGGGGGTGCTTTTTATGAAAATGATATCGAATTTGAGATAGGGCCCCCCGGGCCCGACTTTTTTTAACTTTTTGGATTAAATCGATATCAGGGTCGACTATTAGGTTTTAGGGGGTGCTTTTTATGAAAATGATACCGAATTTGAGATTGGGCCCCCCGGGCCCCGACATTTTTTAACTTTTTGGATTAAATCAATATCAGGGTCGACTATTAGGTTTTAACGGGTGCTTTTTATGAAAATGATATCGAATTTGAGATTGGGCCCCCCCGGGCCCCGACTTTTTTTAACTTTTTGGATTAAATGGATATCAGGGTCGACTATTAGGTTTTAGGGGGTGCTTTTTATGAAAATGATATCGAATTCGAGATTGGGCCCCCCGGGCCCCGACTTTTTTTAACTTTTTGGATTAAATCGATATCAGGGTCGACTATTAGGTTTTAGGGGGTGCTTTTTATGAAAATGATATCGAATTTGAGATTGGGCCCCCGGACCCCGACTTTTTTTAACTTTTTGAATTAAATCGATATCAGGGTCGACTATTAGGTTTTAGGGGGTGCTTTTTATGAAAATGATATCGAATTTGAGATTGGGCCCCCCGGGCCCCGACTTTTTTTAACTTTTTGGATTAAATCGATATCAGGGTCGACTATTAGGTTTTAGGGGGTGCTTTTTATGAAAATGATATCGAATTTGAGATTGGGCCCCCCGGGCCCCGACATTTTTTAACTTTTTGGATTAAATCAGATATCAGGGTCGACTATTAGGTTTTAGGGGGCGCTTTTTATGAAAATGATATCGAATTTGAGATAGGGCCCCCCGGGCCCCGACTTTTTTTAACTTTTTGGATTAAATCGATATCAGGGTCGACTATTAGGTTTTAGGGGGTGCTTTTTATGAAAATGATATCGAATTTGAGATTGGGCCCCCCGGGCCCCGACTTTTTTTAACTTTTTGGATTAAATCGATATCAGGGTCGACTATTAGGTTTTAGGGGGTGCTTTTTATGAAAATGATATCGAATTTGAGATTGGGCCCCCCGGGCCCCGACTTTTTTTAACTTTTTGGATTAAATCGATATCAGGGTCGACTATTAGGTTTTAGGGGGTGCTTTTTATGAAAATGATATCGAATTTGAGATTGGGCCCCCCGGGCCCCGACTTTTTTTAACTTTTTGGATTAAATCGATATCAGGGTCGACTATTAGGTTTTAAGGGGTGCTTTTTATGAAAATGATATCGAATTTGAGATAGGGCCCCCCGGGCCCCGACTTTTTTTAACTTTTTGAATTAAATCGATATCAGGGTCGACTATTATGTTTTAGGGGGGCGCTTTTTATGAAAATGATATCGAATTTGAGATTGGGCCCCCGGGCCCCGACTTTTTTTAACTTTTTGGATTAAATCGATATCAGGGTCGACTATTAGGTTTTAGGGGGTGCTTTTTATGAAAATACAGTCGGATTTGAGATTGCACCCAGTGGATTCACTTTTTGGAATTAGTCGATATCAGGGCCGTCTATTATGTTTTAGGGGACGGATTTTATAAAAAAAAAAAAATCCGACATCATTTTCATAAAAAGTGTTCCCCAAAACCTCATAATCAACATTGATATCGATTAAATCCGAAAGGTTACAAAAAGTCGGGCCCCGGGGGCACTATCTCAAAATGTATGAAAATGATTCGTAATCTGATATCATTTTCATAAAAAGCGCCCCCTAAAATATAATAGTTGACCCTGATATCGATTTAATCCAAAAAGTTAAAAAATGTCCGGGCTCGGGGGGCCCAATCTCAAATTCGATATCATTTTCATAAAAAGCACCCCCTAAAACCTAATAGTCGACCCTGATATCGATTTAATCCAAAAAGTTAAAAAAAGTCGGGGCCCGGGGGGCCCAATCTCAAATTCGATATCATTTTCATAAAAAGCACCCCCTAAAACCTAATAGTCGACCCTGATATCGATTTAATCCAAAAAGTTAAAAAAAGTCGGGGCCCGGGGGGCCCAATCTCAAATTCGATATCATTTTCATAAAAAGCACCCCCTAAAACCTAATAGTCGACCCTGATATCGATTTAATCAAAAAAGTTGAAAAATGTCGGGGCCCGGGGGGCCCAATCTCAAATTCGATATCATTTTCATAAAAAGCCCCCCCTAAAACCTAATAGTCGACCCTGATATCGATTTAATCCAAAAAGTTAAAAAAAGTCGGGGCCCGGGGGGCCAATCTCCAAATTCGATATCATTTTCATAAAAAGCGCCCCCAAAACATACTAATCGACCCTGATATCGATTTAACACAAAAACTTAAAAAAGTCGGGGCCCGGGGGCACTATCTCAAATCCGACAGCATTATCATAAAAGTCAAGTGGTGTAAAAAAGAAAAAAAAAAAAATGGTCCCCAAAGTTGATTAAATCCAAAATATTTTAATAATTCTTTATTTTATCGATTTACATTAATATCGATACTATTTTAAAAAAACTATACCCCCATAAGATAACAATGGACTTAAACATGGAAGAAATATTAAATATTCTACTCCTGTAATTTTTATAATGAAATACTCGATTACTTTGAAAAGTACTCAGAGTAAAATATTGCTGAGTAGATTTGAAAATAGAAAGTACTCACGAGGCCAGCTGATTACTTTTTGTACTCGTCAATCATGAGGTCGAGTAGTGATTGAAGTACTCGATACTCGAACCGGGCGAGTATTTGAGTAAATTACTCTGTAATTGTACTTTTTACTCAGAGTACAATTTTGCCCATCTCTACTGAGTGCCTTAGGTTGATTATACATTTTTTTTCCCTATAATTTTTGATCAGGGTTAGACATGGGCTGAAACAAAATAGGCTCAGAAGGAAATTAAAATGATAAGGGTGTATAAAACATACATATGAATGAATAATTAAGAAATTGGTAATGGAATGAAAGAATGCATGAAAAATAAATGAAAATGAAAGTAAACGGAGAAGAAGATCTCATGTGCAATAGAAATTAAAAAATTGGTTGACTATATTGTCACCCTAGATTGACGGAAGAGGAAAGAGAAATAGGTATGAATGAAGAGAGAGACTATAAGAGGAGCATGGTTGCGAAGAAATACTATTTTTTTGAAAATAGAATATTGATATATATTTAAGCAAAAATAAAAGATATCTATATCATGACACATGTAAATATAAACAATATCATAAAGTAAATTTTGTATTTTTAATGCGGGGGAGAGATATTTTCCCCTAAAGTTAATAATTTATTAATCAAAATGACAAGGTTTATATTTCTTTACATCACCTTTTTTATCTGTAGGAGTTGCTGTCTCTGCAGATAATGTTTTATATTTTGCTGATGGCACTAACATTAGAATGGTAGACAGGGATGGTATCGTCACTACTGTAATTGGAAATCATGTCCATAAAAGCCATTGGAAGCCTATTCCTTGTGAAGGAACTTTGTCAGTAGAAGAGGTATGTAAAATATTTTGTAAAACTAGTAAGTATATATATATATTAATTTAATGTACTAGTGTTCTGTACTCCAGGTTTATATGGTTTTGTAAGAGATTATTATAATTTCAAATGGCTTAATTTATAATCAGTTCTCATTCATTAAATAAGTCTTTTTGTTTGATAAGAACTGACATTTAATTACAATTTTTGTAGTGAAAGGTATTATATTTTGCTAATTTATGTCTTTTAGTAACATAATGAGCATCTTTAGAAGGATTAGCAGAAGTTTGGTTCCAAAGTCAATAAGTAACATATATAGAGTCTCTCACGATTCCCCATTGAAACTGAAATTTACCTTACCAGATTTAAAACTATTCTCTCTATTTTTTTCAGTATACCCTTCTATCATGTATGCCAGATCAAAGTATATTTAGTTATTTTTTTAATTCCCAAAACTCAGCATAATTGTTTACCTATATTAGTTAAATTAACATTTAACTATAATTCCATTTACAAAACAATAAATCTCTGCTTCATGCTTGCAGATTCTTAATGAACCTGCAATATATTTAAATAAAACAAACCATAAGAATAATCTGAATAAATCGGGAAAGCTCATCAGATATGATGGGTACTGGGGAAATAAAATAAAATAAAAATAAATAGTAAAATAATAAATAATAATAAAAATAAATAAATAAAATAATAAAAACGGGGTGGACCAAAACCAGTCTCTAAGCTGTAGTGAAGGCAACCTCCGTAGGGCATAAGAAACCTGAAATAAAATCTCTTGGTCCTCCAGGTTGGGGGTTGGGCATCGGTTGGGACTAGTAAATCAACCCTGAAAAAATCAAACATACTGTTAATCTTGATTAAAAAAAAGCCAGACTGATCTCACGATTAATATATAAAGGGCATTCGATTAGGATCATGGAATGTATTATCGCTTAATCGAGTTGGAGCATTACAGATACTCTTAAACCAACTGGACACTTATCAAATTGATATAGCTACAATCCAGAAAATCCTACGGTTTTGGACCACTATGACAAGGAAGAGTAACCACACCATATACTATAGCTGCAAGAAAAGTCATCACACTTTCAGAACAAGTTTTTTGTGGGTGGAAAAGCATCTCAGCTTGTTATGGGCTTTGAACCAGTCAATCCCAGATTGTGCTATCTAAGACTAAGAGGCCAATTCTACAATTAGAATTTTCTGAGTGTACATGCCCTGACTGAAATCTCAGAGGAAGAGGAGAAAGATTCATACTACTGAAATTTAACACATCGAAACTCTACTAAAAGGTGTGGTCATAAATAAACATAATACGGAATGTATATGAATTAAATAAATCAACCAAATATATACATTGTTGGCACTTTTAGGTGGAAGATTTAAAATAGATTTATGTTGATGAGTGGAAGATTTATGTTGAGTAATAAATGCAAAACTTTTAATATTGAAATCTCAGCCGGAAGCAACTAGAACCTAACCAAATTAGATGGATTTTTTAAATTGTTTGATGTGCAACACAATGAAATAAATCACATTCCTTTGCACCACTATAACCCTTTCCTTCTTAAGAGATATTGAAATTTTAAAATTGTAAATTTGCATGTTTTTTTAGTTATTTTCCATCATAGGTTTCTTCAGAAGGGGTTTTCGTAAAAAAGTAATAGAATATTTTCTCTTCAGAATAAAATTGTCTATGAGATGCCATAAAATTTTTTTTGTAATTTTCATTAGTTTAGAGAATACCTAAAATTTTTTTTTTTCCTTTTCTTGGCCCATTAGATACAAATCCTCATTAAAAACTCCTATGTCAAAGTTCATATGAAGAAAATATAAAAATTTTGCCTGGAAGAACATAATGCCAACTTTTTAAGTTTGATCCACTGTGCGGTTGTAGAGCGATGGAAGAAGAAGATACAAATAATTTTATTTTTCCAAGTTCATTTTTACATAAATATTTGTCTGTATAATTATAATAATTTTTTTCTGCACATTACATATGCATTCTTATTAAAAAATGAAGAAATGTATTGATTTCAATATTATTTCCAAAGAAAAATTCCTCAGTGAACAGCCCTCACTCAGTTAATGCAGTTAAATATTATTGTGTAGTAAACTAATGTAGTATTATAGGTTTAATGCTGCTATTTTGGATTTTCTTTTTCTTTTTTTGTATTTGTTTACAAAATATTACTAATTGAAATATTATTCTCTCCCTCACTCTAGAATATAAGAACTGTTGTTATTAATTTCCGCTTTGGGTCTTTTAATTTCCTATTAAAATATACCAAAATTGCTTCCAAACTTCTAAATACTCAGTAGAATTTCATCCATCTTTGTATCCTCTAACCTCTTCTGCCTTTGAACATCATCCTGATGCTATTATTATTCTTTTTATGACTGCACACCTATGGAATAAGCCTTATTATTACTTGTATTATAACACAAAATATTGTCGAGAAATGTTTGAGTCATTGCTTTACCCATCAAATCTTTAGATATATGTCACATTTTCTACAATAACATTAGAAGAAAATTTGTTGTAGATGAATTCATAATATTCATTCAATAATGAACAATGGTGGGCTATATAAAATCAAATGGTAGAATTACCTAGGATTATGCATAACAAAAAAATCATAAACGCTTATTATAAACATATTTGTTAATTCAATGAGCAAGTAATATTAACTATACTTTAGTACATTTAAATACTTTACTATATTTTAGGTACATTTAAGATGGCCTACTGATTTAGCTATCAACCCATTGGACAATTCCCTACATATTGTAGATGATCATATGGTATTAAAATTGACTGCAGACTATAGAGTCAAAGTTGTTGCTGGGAGGCCATTGCACTGCCAGGCTCGTGGTTTGGACAATGAACTAGCTACACAAGCAACACTAGTCATGCCACAAAGCATTGCATTTTCTTCTTCAGGAGATTTGTACATAGCTGAAAGTGATTCTCAGAGAATAAATAGAGTGAGATTAGTAGGTAAGTAATTGATGCTATTGACATTTACGTCTATACTACTTGTATATGTATTAATTATATTCTGAAAACTATATTAATTACATCTGCTTAGAGTATTTAATTATTTTATTCTTTAAATTATTTTTTTGTTAAATTAAATGAATCCATTATGTAAAAAATTATTTAAAATTAACTATCTCCAACATGTAAGCTAAAAAGTTGAGGAGGAAGATCACGCGGTCTAAATAACTGTTCATAACAAAAAAATTATCTTTGCTTATTTACATACTTCTATCCATATTTCATTTTATTGATGTAGTTTTTGAAATTTCTTGCCCTCATGATGACCCACATGCTTAGGTCAAAACGTTAGCAAGCCTTATAAATCTTATATATACTGGATATTCTGATTATTTTCTACCCTCATAATTTTACCAGTCAAATATATATTCATCTCTAATTTATTTATTTATTATTATTTTCAAGGGACTGATGGAAGAATAACTCATTATGCTGGTGCTGAATCAAGGTGTAACTGCTTAGACCGTGGTTGTGACTGCTTTGAGCAGGACCACTTTTTAGCTTCTACATCAAAATTTAATACAATATCCTCAGTTGTAGTTACACCTGATGGTATTCTTCATATTGCTGACCAAGCTAACTACAGGTATTGTCAGTTTAATGATTATGAATATTAATAAAATTAATTAATTCTTTTTTAAAAATTAAATTTCTTAAATAATTAAAATTCAATTACAGGATTCGTTCAGTAGTTGCTAGTATTCCTGAAGCTAATCCCTCACGGGAATATGAAGTTTACTCTCCTGAAACTCAGGAACTCTATGTGTTTAATAGATTTGGACAACATATAGCTACAAAAAATATCTTGACTGGTGAAACAAGTTACATTTTCACATACAATGTCAATACCAGCAATGGTAAATTAAGCACTGTGACTGATACAGCCGGAAATAAAGTTTTCCTTCTTAGAGACTACACAAGTCAGGTATAATTACTGAACTTTGCTTAATAAAGTTTAAGTGTATCTTTTATTATATGAACATGTGTTTTTATTTTACAACTTATTCCAAAATGAATTGGGATAAATGTAAAATGTTTTAATAGTACACTTTTTGTATTCACTGAATTTTAAATTATTTTAATTTAGTTGTTTATTGGACAGTTAATTACATTATTTATAAAATAGTGTTGCTTATTCAACTGTGGGATGGATCAGATATATTTCAGAACTCATAATTGTGTTGTATTAATTTTTTGTAACAAGATATGTTTTTTTTAATTTAATCTCATCTCCTTATTTTATTATTTTTTAAAGGTTAATTCTATTGAAAATACGAAAGGACAAAAGTGTCGCTTAAGAATGTCACGGATTAGATTACTCAGTGAATTGAATACACCAGATAATTATAACGTTTCTTTGGACTACCATGGGCCTACTGGCCTCTTACGCAGTAAACTTGATTCAGCTGGCCGCTCATATGTTTATTCTTATGATGAATTTGGAAGACTTACTACAGCTGTTACACCAACTGGAAAAGTTATAAAGCTCTCATTTGATCTTAATCAAAAAGGGGCTATGGTTCAAGTCTCCCACGATGACCAACAGCCAACAACAATGGTGATCAGGGGGGCTTCTGTTGTAACCAAATTAGGTAAAGATAATGATTAAATATTTCATTTTTAATATAATTAATGAAGAATTTCTATGAGAATTTTTATTTTTCTATAGGAGAAGCTCAAGAAAGAACTGAGGTTTTCAATGATGGCAGTGTTTCAACAGTTTTACCATGGTGGCAGCTAGTTGCTACTGAAACTGTGGCTTACCCTCTATTGAGTGAAATAGATCCTGTATTAGGAGAAAGTTACCCAGTTCCTGCCAAGCAAATAATTAAAGTTGGAAGTGATGTAGCTAATAGATTTGAATGGAGATATTTTATCAGAAGACCACCTGGTACTAAGTCACGGATGCCTGGTGAGTTTTCCTTATAAAATTATTTTTAAATTCTTCTATTCAAATAAATTAAATGCCTTTATAATTTCCACTTTGTTCAAAGAAACACTGTTAAGTGCTAAAGATAATTAGGCAATGTGATTTATATGTGTGAAATTTTTAAAGTAAAATTGTTCTTATAATATGTTTATTACATAGGTTGCTTAATTGTATTGATGATTTAAGCTATAGCATAATTTTATTTAAACTTTGATACTAGCCTACTTATAAGTTTATTCAGTGTGTTTTTATATTAATTTCACTTCACACAAACAATTTTCTTTGATACCAATCAATTATCTTTTATATGTGTAGGAAAAGGTGTTGTTCAAGTAGGAAGGAGGCTGAGGGTGAATGGAGAGAATGTTTTAACTCTTGAATATGACAGAGCCACAACTACTGTAGCAGTATTTTTTGATGATAGATTAGAATTGATCAATGTGACTTATGATAGAACTGCAAGACCAGTCAAATGGGGCCCAAGGTGACAATTTTAAATATTTATGGTTAATTGAGAAAATAAACTTGTTTGAAGTTTCTAGAAGATAATTTTTGTTATTAGAAATGGTATTTTTGCTGGAGTTGAACTGGAATATGACAGATTCAGTCGCCTTAGCACTTGGAGATGGGGAGATTTGAATGAAAGTTATATCTTTGATCGTGCTGGAAGGTTATCTCAAATTCGATATGCAGATGGAACATCTACTTTATATGCTTTCAAGGATATGTTTAGTAACTTGGTATGTATTCCTTTTTTTAATTACTTAAAATAAAATTAACAATTATATGCATTAAATTTGTCTTCATAGGTTTAAGAAATTTTTCACTATTCCATAATTTCATCCAATCTCAATTGGATGTGTGTTAAAAAGTTATGGCATGTTTCTCTGTCTTTCTTCACAACATTGTGCATAATGGTCTTCAACTTAAATTTATTCTGTGTAATTTTGTTATCATTCTTTTAACTTGGTTACATAAACTTAACTGGTATAAATAAAGGTTCACATTTATTTTTTTGGATTCATGACACTAAATGTTATAGTATCTTTCAAATTTCTTGAAAACTATTTAATTTCAACATATATTAAGATTTTTTTTTCATAGGTTTATGTCTTCAATTCTGAAGTTAAGAAGTGAAATATGAAACATTATCTAAATAATTGACCTTGTCAAACCTTAATTACTCTGAAAAACATTTATTAAATAAAAATATTTAAAGTGAATAATTCAGCTATGTATGCTTAAAATCTATTTATCTTTTTCATTCTAAATATTTTATTGTAAAGTCACAGTTTAGCCTTGATTGAATGGTACAAATAACTTCCCAAAATATAAAATTTCTGAAATCAATTAGTATTATACTTAGAACTATCTTGTCTACAGAGTCATGTTTAACTTTCATTTTTTTTATTTTTTTTTTTTTTACAGCCATTGAAAGTTACTACACCCCGAGGAAGTGATTATTTACTTCAATATGATGAAGCTGGAGCTCTTCAGTCATTAACAACTCCTAGGGGACATATTCATGCATTTTCACTTCAGACATCTTTAGGTTTCTTTAAGTATCAGTATTATTCTCCTATGAATAGGCATCCATTTGAATTAAGATATAATGATGAGGGTCAAATTTTGGCAAAATTATATCCTCATCAATCAGGTCGAGTTGCATATGTTTATGATCAATCAGGAAAACTTGACACTGTTCTAGCAGGTATGTCATAAATTATATATATATATATATATATATATATATATAAATGTCTCAGAATAAAATTAACTTTTCTTCCTCTTCTTTCTTCTATATTTACAATATGCTACCATTGGGTAGTTACTCAGCAAGTGTTTTTCATGTCATTATATACATTATGTTCTAATTTACTAGATGTATTTATTTAATACAGTTGTTAATGTCTTTAAGAAATAAAAAAAAAAATTTACAATATAACCAATAAGATATAATTAGTGAACAATACCACATCTTTATATCACTTCCAGTAATTTTTTAATATTAATATTCATAATTTTACTAAATTAATGAATTAGATTCAGTATAAATATTAATAAATGATGATAGAATTATCTAAAATTCTATTTGGAATAGACTAGTATGATTTGTTTAAATTTATACTTTACTTGTGCACCCAGAGCTAAGTTTTGAAATAATATGTATCAAATGGAACTTAATATGAAATTCATGTATTTTATATAAGTATGTAATATGTTTGTAGAATATGCTTTACATTCCTCATTTGATGACAAAGCCTGTTTGACATTATAGGTGGAAAAGTATTTGACATTATTGAAAAGTAGCTTCAAATTTTATTTTCTACATGTTAATAATGATCACAAAAATTATTTTTTAGCATAAGTTTTTTTTTTACTTCTTTTATTTTAAAAATTAAAATTTCCTTAATAGCTATTAAGTAGTAACATTTTATTTTTATCTTCAGGACTTTCTTCTATCCATTACACATATCAAGAAAATGCCAATTTAGTAAAAAATATTGACATAATTGAACCAAGTTTTGAGTTGAAACATGAGTTCCGACATCATATTGGACTACTAAAAGATGAAAAGTTGAAATTTGGAAGTAAAAGTGGATTGCATAACACAAACTACCGGTTGGTGAAACTTATATTCTCACAATATCTTAATTATTTCTTTCTTTCAGTACGTTAAAGTAGTTATAAGAATAATTTAGTTAACTGAACTTATTTTGTAAATTGTGAAATTTTTCATTTATACTTAAATCTGATAATTATTTAGCAATCACTTTTATCATGTAACCACCAAATTAGTTTGGTAAAAACAAAATCAATATTAAAAACTAAAGTATAATTTTATATTCCTAAATATACAACTATAAACTTATTATCTATTTATTTTTATTTGTCTTTAAATATGTATGTTTTATCCTCATAATTTTTCCAAAACCATTTGATAATAATTTTTACTTTCTTGTAATTAAATCAATAATTGTTTTTTCTTAAGGTATGAGTATGATGGAAATGCCCGTGTATCAGGTGTTGAAGTAAATATTGATGGAAAGGAATTACCACAGCTGAAAGTTAAGTATTCACAAAATCTTGGTGTTTTGGAAGGAGTAAGTGACCTTCGAATTTATCGTAACAGCTTCAATAGATCAGTAGTACAAGATGTCGGAAAGCAATTCTTTACAATAACGGAATATGACACTCATGCCAGGATAAAAACAGTATTAGTCAACATAAAAGCAATTGATGTATACAGGTTAGAATATTTATGTTACAACTATTTTTAAATATTTGAATTTTTTTTATGTAGACAAAATTGAATTTTTGAAGAAATGTAGACAAAATTTTAGCTTATATTAATTATGTTTTTCAATAAACTTACTGTAAAATTACAAGGACAATGATCCTCCCTTACTGAACAGCCATTAGTGTTGCCCAAAATAGGTCTTGGTCTTGCACTTTGCAAGACCAAGACCAAGGCCGCCTAACTGTTGCAAGACCAAGACCAGGACTGGTAAAAAAAATCGATGTTTTTAATAAAAAATTAAGGCAAAATAGTTACTAATACTCGAACAATCTTAGTTACTAAATGTAAATAATTGGTATGACCAATATAGTTTTGCATTTAATTCCTTTAATTTTTCATTCAGGCTTAGTTAGGTTTCTCCTATCTACAAAATACAGTACTGTAAGACTGTTGCGAGACTCCTGTGCAAGACCAAGACCATGACCAAACTGAGTTTGCAAGACCAAGATTTGTCTGGGTCTCGCATTTGGGCAACACTAACAGCCATGTATAGATGCTTGTAATTCAAAGAAATTTTCATTGTTAGCTGCTTAATATTTTTGACTTATTAATCTATCATTGCTCTGATAAAATTTTGAAATCTCTTTAGTTAGAATATATTATTTATTTCCTATAGAATGGAGCTGGAATATGATGTCAGAGGTAGAATAAAATCGATTAAAATCACCATTAGTCGCAATTCATCAACCAAACATATCACCTATAGTGCTGATGGTCATTTACTAGAAGTAACTGGAGGAAGTGATTGGAAATTTGTTTATGATGAAAATGGCAATATAATTAGCATTATGGAAGGAGGACAAAAATTAAGCTTAGGCTATGACATTGGTGACCGTGTCGTTCAGGTACATAGTATTATTTTTTTTTTTCAATTGTTAACTGATAAAAGTTTTTTTTTTAATTCATTAGAGTTAATTTATTTTAATTAAATTGGATTTAAATGGTATAGCTTAACACATATCATCCGGTACATTTTTGTACCACCATTCACAAAATGCCTGCATCTTCTTATCTCTGTTTGTTAAAAATTAGAATTTAATTTATTTAGAATTAAAAGAACAAGCATTGCTTATTTTCTGTAAAATGAAAATGACAAATTTTTGCCATATGTGTTAACTGCGGCACCTACCTACAGACTTTGTGGCATAGAGGATGAAACCATCTACCAAATTTTATTCGAATGTGATAATTTGGCTAGATTGCGGTATCTCTATTTTGAAAGTGATTGTATCTCTGATCCCAAGCCCTGGAAATTGATCAATCCCACCAGCTTATATAAGTTCACAAAGGCATCTGGAGTGTTTTGACCGAGAGTATGATAGTGCACAATTGGTCTCAGTGAGACCACAGTTCATCTTTGTTGGGGGGGAGGGGATGTTTCATAGTATGAAATGATCACAATACTGTATTTTTTTAAATTATTAGGTTACCTTTACCTATTTATGATTTACTTAAAGTAGTTTTTAAACTGGGGATTTTTTTAGGATATTGAATGTAAATTATTTATTTATTTATTTATATAATCTGATAATAAGTGCAACAAATTCTACTGAAACAATATCTTTTCTTAACTGGTTATATCTTTTACAGTATTGAAATAGCCATTCCACTTTTTAGGTCCCTAAACAGAAGTTTAAAATTGTTAAGTTACTTCCTTATTTTACTACAAAGAGTTCCTTCTTTGTATTCCACCATAGGAGGTTCAGAAAGTTGCCAAGGTCTTTTTATTGTTAGGTGTGCTTTAATTTGACCATAACTAATGAAATTTTCTTACTATTTACATTAGTATTGTAAGATATATGTTCAAGTACTATTTCTTTTATCTGGTCACATTACATCAGCTCTCTTATTCCTTGTTAAGACTTTGTGTGCTGATGATCAATATCTCTAACTTTCACTGCTTTAGATAAGGTTTATAATTCATAATTTCCTTCAAAGTTTTGTTCTGTTCTCCTCTCCTAGAATAGTGTTACTAATATAATTTTACATAGCTGCTATTGATAATTAATATAAATTGCAATGTTAACGTTTTAGTATAATATAGCAATATTAACATATAATGTTATAATGTTACATTATAGAATTATAATGTTATGGTTAACTCTTTCTATTTCATGTTTTGAGTCTTCTCAAACTGCTTCTGCTACATAAAATTTAAATACTTCTATAATCTAAGATCAGACACGAACTTTCTGTTATGTAATGATAATTATGTGTTACTTTCTTTTGGGATTCCCTCTACTTTGCTATCAGTGCTTCTAAACATTTAAATTAGAAATAAATTCAAAGTTTAATTATTCATATCCAGTAAAGTTATATACATAGTTTTGGTTTGTCTGTGAGTGGATTCTGGCTTTAACCACCACCTGCTCTTCTACTCTGCCTGCCCTCCAAGTGTGTATTTTCTATGGCTTTTGATCATATTTTTTATTCTTATGTTTGACTATTTTGGTATGGCAATATTTTTATCATATCTTTTTTATCATTTGGCAGCTAATGTCAGGCAACATTTTTTAGTCTCCTGTAATGTCTATTTGAAATTAGAGAGAAAATTATTTCATTTAAAAGCAGTGCTGCCAGCATATTAATCACTGATAACAGTTATTGCATGAATAAATTTTTATTTATTAATCAAGTCACTGTCTGACAAGTGGTTTTAAAAATTACTTCTAAAAGAATACGACCTTTAAGACAGCCTAAGTTTTACAAAAATGAAATATTCTATAACTGTTGACTTGTACAAGCCATGAAAACCCTTCCACATTAATAGCCAGGAATTAAATAAAGCTCATGAGGCTGGATAACACCCTGAAGATAACAAGAAAATAAAGCTCCTAGTGATATGAATATCAAATTCATACTCGGGTCAATGATGATATAATGTAAACACTGATTTCATTACGCAACTCATTAAATTTGTTTTCAAATGAGAAATTTTATTAAATATGCATAAATTATAAATTTCCAAAACACACAGAACATTTATATGGCATGATTATTCATCTGCCGGAAATTTTATATGTTTTACAGATACAGTACAAATAAAGACTTCATAACAATTACATATACATGAATAACTGATAAATAATAAAACAACTAATAAAATATAAAATAATAAATATTTTGAATAATTTATGTCTCAGAAATAATAATAAAGGAAAATAAGGGAAATCATAAACTATAACATGAATAAAACACCACAAATAAATTAGATGAATCATTGGTTTTGCACGACATGCGTGGATACGCTGTTTCAATTTGCTATATCCAGCATTAAATTTGTTTTCTAGGTTGGAGATGTTGAACTCAATGGATATGATGCTCGAGGTTTTGTAGTTCGTCGTGGTGAAACCAAATTACGTTACAATGAACTTGGTCAGTTGAGCAGTGCTACTGAAAAAGAAAGTTTTACAGCATGGTATAGGTACGATGACCGTGGAAGATTGATAGCAATTCAAGATGCAAGAGGAAATACTACTCAGCTTTTGTATGCTGATCCAACAAGGCCACATTTAGTTACCCACCTTCATTATCCTCGAAGTGGTGGCACATTTAGATATCTATATGATGATAGGGGAATATTAATAGCTCTGGAGACTACAGAACAGAGGTAATATCTTTAATTCGATAAAGTATTGATTCTAACAATTTGTGTCGTTTTTATTTTGATGTTAAATTTTATTTTTAGATTTTATGTTGCATCAGATCAGAATGGTTCTCCTCTTGTTCTATTTGATACAAATGGAAATATTATAAAAGAAATTCAAAGGACTCCTTTTGGTAAAACCATAAGAGATTCTAACCCCGACTTTTTACTTGTTGTTGATTATCAAGGTGGAATTCCAGACCCTCATACCGGTCTGTTATACCTTCGTAAAAGATGGTATGATCCTTTTGTTGGTCAATGGATCACACCTGATTGGGAAAGATTAGCAAATCAGCTGACAGCTCCAACAGATATATTTATTTATAGGTTCCAAAATAATGATCCTATTAATCCTCTGAGTAGACAATCGATTGATTACATGACAGGTTAGAAAAGTTTTCTTTATTTTTATGAATTTATTAATATTATAAGTATAAAACAATATATAACTTGATGGAATGGATTTAAAAATGGGATTAAATATTAATTTGTAGATTTGGGTAGCTGGCTGAAACTGTATGGTTATGACATCAATAATATATTAGGATCTGTTTACCTTAAAAAGATGGTCTACCGACCTGCTGCTAAAGTAACTTCTCCTCAGTTAGCGCCAGATTTTGGAGTAATGTCAGGCTTACAGTGCATCATTGATAAGGTGATTTTTCTAATCTTTATTCTTTATTATTTTCATTGAAAATATATGCCATTGTATAAGACTACATATATGACATATATTAGTGATTGTTTTAAAATTTTGTTTGCTTATTAGATATCTGACAAGTTTGTTACTCTTGGCTTTGTACCACAACCTTTATTAAAAACTGAAGCACGTACAAGGAATTTACTGCCTCGTGTAGCATATAGAAGATCAGTGTTTGGAGAAGGTCTTCTAATATCACGTGTGAATGGAAGAGCTTTGATATCTGTAGTTGGAGGAGTTAATAGTGTAGTACAAGATGTTGTTACTTCAGTTTTTAATAATTCTCATTTTCTTGATTTACATTTCACCCTCCATGATCAAGATATGTTTTATTTTGTAAAGGTATGTTGATAATTTTTACTTTAAATTTAGAATATGTTAATAAATTTTTGTATATAGATAATGGTTTCTCTTAATATGTCGAATGCCATGGTAATTTTTGGGATTCCATTTTAACTAGCCAATTTAATTTATTCATACTATACTATATTATAATTTTTAATTATATTATAAATTATAATATATATTATGATTATATCACTATAGTAAATTATAATAATTGCAAATAATTTGCTAATCATCCCATAGTTGCCTTATGTAACAGAAATCTCCGTACTGACCCTAACTACTAGTTAATTAGAGTATATTAATTTGAGATAGCTCATTGTTGGCATCTTAGGCAATAATCACAACTACCTGTTATCTTGTGGTTGACAGTAAATAATGTATAACATTTATGAATTGTACAAATTAAAACATAGGATTTCTATATCACTCATGAATTAGTGACAATTATTATAACACTCTCTTTAATTAACAGTTAATAACAGGATTAATAAAATATTTCTCCCTTATTAATTATTAATTTTATTCATTTACTTTGATTGAACAATGTAATCTCAAATATAAGATTATAGTCCAAATGCCAAGTCAAAGTTTCATGATATATTTGAAGAAACCTGTTAGTCATACACTTTTATAATTTCCGTCCTCAGTATTCAAGTCGTACTAGCCTGCCGACTCAAAGTAGAGCCAATTTAAATTGGCATCCATTGAAAGGAAGAATCAAAAACATAAAAATTAGATTATTTGAAGTTGATTTGTTTCAAATTAACTTGAAACTACACGCCCTTCCCCTTGATACCAAAAAACATTGTACACATAATTTGGGAAGAGGCATCGCTTCAGAAGACAAAGTTCAAAATACCCGTTTTTCCACCTGGTTGTGCACTTTTGAAAATATCAAGGAAACAGCTATTTTAACAAAGATAATTATAATAAACTACTTTCTAGTGTGCCCTTTAAAAATTCCGTAGAAACTCCTAGGAAATGGAAAACTGAGGATAGATATCATAATGGTTGATGACTAAAAGTTTTTGCCAAATAAGTCACATAATATCATCTTTGCTCTTGGGCTATAATTTAGAAATATGATAATTAATTTTTTTTCTGTGTTCATAGGATAATGCACTAAAATTAAGGGATGATCTAGATGAATTAAGAAGATTAGGAGGAATGTTTAATGTATCAACTCATGAAACAGCAGATGGAAAAGAATTGAGATTACATAGTATTGATGCTGTAGTATCAATTAGATATGGTGCTGATCCAATCCAAGAAAGACATCGTCTTTTGAAACATGCTCATAAGCGGGCTGTAGAACGTGCTTGGGAAATTGAAAAATCTTTAGTTTCTTCTGGTCTGTCAGGAAGAGGTGAATGGACTGAGGAAGAAAGAGAAGAACTGTTACTTCGAGGCAGGGTTGATGGCTATGATGGTATCGATATTCATAGTATCCAGCGCTACCCACAGCTTGCTGATGATCCTGGAAATGTTGCATTCAGAAAAGATGCTAAACATAAAAGAAAAAGGCGGACACATCCACATGTTTCCATTTAATTGTCTTGAATAGGACTGTAAATACTGTGATAAAACAACCTTGTGTTCTATTCAACTATCATTGCAATCAATTCGCTTATTTTTATAAATTTTTTTTTGTATATAAATATAAATATGAATATATACATATATATATAAATATATATTATTGTATTGCTAAACTTCCATTTATAAATATAAATTAAGAAGGATGTTTAAATGACTTTTATATAAGTATGTATACATTGAATTGTATAAATATTTATATAAACTTGTATGCATGTGTTTGTGTATCTGATATAAGAAATCTCATATAATAATATGAGATTTTTTTTTAAATAATGTTTTTATATGTTTTATTTATCTGTTCTGAACAGAATCCTTGATTTATTTAGTTTATTTTTATAATTATTCTGAGGATCAAGGAATGTTAAATTTATACTGTTTTTTTTTTTTTAAGTCTACCCAAACATCTGTACCTATTGATTGCAATTTGATATATATATATCTATTTTTTTTTTTTTTTTTTGGAATTATAATTTTATACTGTGTTTTATAAATGCAAGGTGTATTAACACTTTTGTACAGAGAGGAAAAGAATATTGTGCTGTGAAATGTGGAGAGGAACTTATAGAAGTATTTGAAGTACCCTTAACATATTGTAAATATTTTTGAATGCGAAAGGACAATTTTGTTCGTCTTTTATATGTAATAAAATTAGAGATTTAATGTGCAATGTACTTACACTTGCTCAGGCATCTAAAAACTTAATCATTTCTTCAAGGGTTCATAAATTGCACAGATGAATTGCTGATACTTGTGTTCTTCTGAACTATACATCTGTAAAGGTAAAGGTATACAGTAATATAACTTAATAGACATTTTCCCAATAATAGAGTGTAAAATAAGTTATTAAGTATTAACTATTTATATAGGGTGCACAACTAGGAGTCCATATTTGAAAGAAGTTGCTTTGAATGTCAAATGATATTTTCTGCTTACAGCCCTTTATTTGGATAAAGTTATTACTTATGATTATTTATTAAACATATTTTACCAGGAGAGAATGTTAGATTTAGTTTTTTTTTTTTTTTCAAAATGTAAGGTATTTCAGCTTTCCTTATCCATGACTTATACCATTGTTTCTATTGAGTTACCAAGCCTCAGCGGATAACCTGATGTTAGTTCTTAAGTTAACACCTATTCCTTTGATGACTATATTAATGTAGTGTTATTTTGATGAAGATACCACCTTATCTGTCACCATTTTACGGCCTACATGAAACTTATAGGATCCCTAGATTAATTCTATGCGTAGTATTTGATTAACTAATATGTGCCATAACAGGGTAGTCCAACAATTTTGGTAGCAATCACAATGTTTCTGTATTGTCCACTGATAGCCTTCCTTGTTTATATTAGTTGGAGGTAAATTCTGTGTACAATAAATTAGATTTTATCATGTACATCAAGTTGAAAAAAAAACAACAAAAAACAAAAATAAAAAAAAATAAGTTGTGACAATTACGTTATAATTTAAAATTTTAGAGTAACAGACCAGATTAGAGTGTTAAAGATAATCTATACATTTATTTGATTTCTGTACATAAATTAAATAGCTGTTTCATTGGTATAAGATTGTTGATTAGATAAAATATCCCTCCTTGACTTATTATAATGTTGTAACAATGAATAAAAGATTGAGTATGTGTTGTTTCTTAGCATGCTGATAAATGTTAAAATGTAACTTTATGTTTAGCATTGTTTAGAACAAAGAAAAATGGCATATAGCATTTACGAACAAGAAATTCTCAATAAATGTGAATATATAGGTTTATTTTAGTTGATTATGGTATTTCCCAATTGTGCATTATGTACATGCTTGTTTGAAATTGTTAAGTAACACATAGGTGTAATACTTAAATTTTTAACTGTAAAAAGCAATACTAAAATTAAATACAATTCTATCAGGTGACTTATATTAGTTTTTAAAACTTTGTGTTTTATTTACCTGATTGAATATAGATTATATTTTATTATCTCTGTTATAATTTAAATTATTAGATATTCATCAATTAAAATTTGTATGGTTTAAATAAGCAGAACCATCAATTTTTGTATTTTAAATGAAGATAGAATTTTTGTATAGGTATTTTAAGTATGTACATAATGATAATTTTTATGCATAGATTTTCAATATGTGAATTGTATGAATGCATTGTACATTTTCAACCAAATATTTAGAATACTTAATAAAGAAAAATACCCATATGTTCCTTTCATTGATAGTATCATTAAACCAATTACTTCAACTTTTTGATAGTTAAGTGAAGAATGAATTACAAATTAAATATATTCGGCTTTATTTATTATTTCATTACCCATTTATAACTATAGGTACTTGTTACAACTTTTCAGCCAGACCTTATGCCTTCTTCAGGTTTATACCAGAAAGAACTCAAAAACATATTGAAATTGCATTACATTTAAAAATATTTTTAACAGACTTATTTTCTTTTATTCTTATGTTTTGAATCTGTTTCTTAAGATTATTAATATTAATAACTTACAAAAATGGACAAGTAAGTTTGTTTAATTATGACACATAACCAATTAAGGTTAGACATATAAATCTAATTTAGTGAGTTATAACTATTGTAATTGACCTTAATCTTAATTAGGACTAGCCAATTTTAATTTAATTAGTTAATAAGAGTTATGATGAATTATCTATTATGATGAATATCCAAATTTGTGTATATGTACAAGAAAATATCTTGTACAAATTGATAACAATAATAATTTCAAAAACAGATTATAAATCAAAATAAATCTATTTAGAATATTACAAAATGTAATGTAATTGCAATATAACTTTTCTAGTAATTCTATTAAACCTGAAGGAGGCTTAAGATTTGGCTGAAACATTGCAACTAGTACATGAGTAAATGAGTGGTGTTAAATATAGCAACGTTAAATAATTTACATTTCTTACTTCTTTGGTTTTAAATAAATTATACATAGAAATTATTTTTCAATCTTCTACAACTGAATTCAGCATTTTTTAATCCGATTAGGATCAAACTTCTACTGTCATATTTTTTTGGCATTAAAATAGAAAAAGACTTAATACTAGAAACCAGGGGTGCCCAGAAGGAGGTTTTATTTAATTAATGAGGGGGCACTTTTTGATGGGGTTTTCAATTTTCGAGGGAGTTACATTTTGTGGCTTTATGAATTTTCAAAACGAAAAGTTTCAAATCAAAATGCAAGTGGAATCATGGAACAGACCACATGATGTGTAATGGTATATAATCTACGAATATTCAAATTCTGCTTTCATTTGAATTGCTTTTAAGAAGAAGAGAGGAATAAAATATCTTGAAAGGGGTGGCAGAAGGTTTAGAGGGTATGAGCACTCATGCCAGAAACTATTCAGAAAAACCCTAATCTGTCACAAGACACTTCATGTTATAGATAAGTATACCAACTACATAATATATATATATATTATATAAGTTAAGGTTTAAAGAGAAAACAAAATTATTAATGCTGCACCGGATGAAATTTCAATACATGAATTTGTATATTAGGAGAGAATAGGAAGATTTGGGACTGTGGATGGTTGTATGTATAAGCCAAATTTAAAACTTTTTGGCACCACTTTGTTATCACTGTGGAAATGTGGTATAAAATAAAAATGTAATTTCCAACAAATTGGTGCAACTTTTTTTGTCTGTTTATGAAAGAAGTTGCTAACCAGATACATAAGACTAGGTTTAACAGAGTTTTTTTGTTGTTTCCTTGTGAGTCTAAGATTTTTTTGTTGATTGTGATGATGTTATCTTAAAGAACAACAACTACTGACAAGTGTCATTATTTTATTTCAATAGTTATTGTTTTATATTAATTTTATTTTCATAGAAAGGGACGCATGGGACATAAATAAAGTGAAGGCTTGGAACAATGTCCTACTATGCCATGCTTCCTTTACGTTTCTTTATTTAATTTTTATCTTAATTTAATATTTAATATTTCCATCTTTTTTCATCCTATAACATTTCATAAAAAAAAGCTTTATTAAGTTTATAATTATCATGTTTATCTGCCAATATATTGCTGCAAAATATTTTCTCCCGATCAAGTTTTCTCTTTTATGAAAATCTTGACTAGAAAAAAAGGGAATATGGGAAAAAAAAAATTCTTATCTTAGCTTTAGAAAGGAAGAGAATGGAAATGGAATAGGAAGGTAGGAAGTAAAAGTTAAATACAAACTGAATCGCAGAAAGACTTTGAAATTTGATGATGATTATTCAACCAAAGAAGGCTCAGAAAATTGTTTTTTCTAGCGAATTATCCGATTAATAAAAAACATCAAATAAAGGTGCATGTGATTTTATTCAATTGAAAGAGGGACAAGAAGTGAAGGATGGCAATTTTGTCTTGATAAGAATTTAAGACGGGGCCAAGAAGAATAAAACAAACTTATTTTGTTATGTGTGTATAGTACAGAATTCTGTGGGAGAACTTCCTCACAATACCCATCATAAGTGATTAAATTTATGACCTAAGATCACAAAAAAAAACTATTTCGACCTATGGATGGTGGTGTGTATCCCATGTGCCATTGCATGGTATCATTTGCATTTTATCAGAAGGTGATATTCAAGTATAGGAAGATAGAGTAAAATAAGTATTCGATAGTGGAATATTCTTCGTAATATTTGTTTTTTTAAACAACTAAACTCAGCTCTTATAATCAGATAACAACGTTCTGGATTGAAAAACTAAATTTTATTCTTAAAAATCAAGATAAAGTCAGCCTCTGGTTTAGATAGAATTTCAGGAGTTTGTAAAAAAAAAAAAACTAAAAAACATGGAGAACATACATTTTAAATAACTATAATGATATCTGGATGAGTGGACAATTTTCCTCTAGCTGCCATCAATGTAGCAGCTCCAAAAAAAGAAAGCAGCACAGAGTCCACAAACTCCCCACCTATTTCTTTAATCTCGCGTTTTTAGAAAATTCAGGAAAGAATAGTAAATAAAAGATTGAGTAATATGCTGGATAGGAAGCATGCTTGTTCACACCAATTTTGTTTTAGGACATACCGTTCAACACTTTGTAGAGTTAATACATGTTATCTGGAAGGACTGCTGAGCTGTTGTAAGCAAAGCAGGTTGGCTTGGGTGAGGTTACCCTGAAGGAGTAGCAGTTATTTGTTCATTATTATTGTGACATGTAGAGAAGAATAAAGAATACCCAGTTGTCATTAAGATTAAAAGCGGAGGAGAGTTTCTCACACAAGAAACTTCTAATAGCAATATTTTTTGATTTAGAGAAAGCTTAACAAGCTTGGCAAGAGGGTAGATTTTAAAGATCTTGGACGGACTGGGAATAGGAGGAAATATGTGGAACTACATACATTTTTTTTTTTTTTTTTTTAATCTATTTATTGAATAATAATACATGCAGCCACTGCTGGAGGGCTATAAGCATTAGGGCTGAAAGTTCTCATTCATACAATATATACAAATAATAAAGAAATAAATATAAATATAAGAAGTAAATAAATAATACTGATGAAGAAGATAAATAAAAAGAAAAGAAAAAAAAATAATAATAATAATAAACAAATAAAATAAAATAAAAACTTCTAAACACAATCATAACTATATACAATATATACATTCGCCCAAGAATCTCCGAACCAGGCTTTTTCCCCCACACGTGGAAGGCAAAGCAAGACTCCGGAAGATCCCAGCGCCACTTTTCCAGCCGCATCACTAGTATTAGAAGCCAGTGGAGACTGAAAGAGGGCACTAGAGCCACAGACGCTCAGGACATGAGTGGAGAAGCTGGCCATTGCCAGGACTCCAAAGGCATATTTACAAAAGATCTCGAGGCCACTGCCGTTTCAACCTTCGAGGGGGATGGTATGGATGCTCGGAGCTGGATAGGGATTGGGCTAGAGGATTGGGATGATGTATGAGGTTCTGGTGAAAGTTGGAGAATCTGGATGGGATGATGTCATGGACATATGGGATGTTAAGGTCATGGTGTAGGGTCTTGTTCGTGACATAATATGGAGCATTGACTATTGTTCGAAGGACTTTAGACTGGAAGGATTGGATGCGTTTGATATTCGATGATTTAGTTGTCCCCCACAGCTCAAGTCCGTAGGTCCAGATAGGTTTCAGTATGGTCTTGTAGATTAATAATTTGTTTTCTGTTGAGAGATGAGATGTTCTGTTTAGTAGTCTATATAGCTGACCAAATCGTCGGTTAAGCTCTTGTCTTTTAAGTCTCGTATGTGGGTTCCAAGTCAGTCTTTTGTCCAGAAGGAAGCCAAGGTATCGGACTGTGTCTGAGTAGGGAAGAGGAATTGAATTAAAAAGGATTGGCGGACAGGATCTGCGTCGAAGAGTAAAAGTTACATGTTTACATTTTGATTCATTAATTTTGATGCGCCAGTTGTTGCACCACTGCTCAATGAAGGAGAGGTGTCTTTGCAGGTTCCGGGACGCAATTAGAGGATCCGAGTGGGAGGATAGGATGGCAGTATCATCAGCAAATGTTGCTAGGAAGGTATCAGGACTTGAAGGGATGTCAGCGGTAAAAAGGATGTAGAGAACTGGGCCCAAGACACTGCCTTGTGGGACACCAGCCTCAATTGGATAATGTTTGGAGAGTTCAGTGCCGCAGCGGACTTGAAAGGAGCGATTTGAAAGGTAGGATTTGAGGACTAGATACAAGGCTTGAGGTAAATGGGTTTTGAGCTTGAAAAGCAAGCCATCGTGCCACACCCGGTCGAAAGCTTGAGCTACGTCCAGAAAGGCACCAGTGCAATATTGCTTGTTTTCAAGTGCAGAGGATATGTGGTCCACAACGCGAAGGCCTTGTTGGACAGTGGAGTGTCTTGAGCGGAATCCAAACTGATGAGAAGGGATATTGTGGGATTCGAGTATGGGTAGGATGCGTTTGAGAAGGATTTTCTCAAAGATTTTGGAAAGGATCGGAAGTAAGCTTATCGGTCTATAGGATGATGTACAATTAACAGGTTTACCTGGTTTAGGAAAGAGGATAATTATGGAGTGTTTCCACACCAGAGGAAAGTGGGTTGTGCGGAGGATACAGTTGAATAGGTATGTAAGGAATATAATTGCTTTTTTGGGAAGTTGTCTGAGGATCTGGGAAGTAAGGAGATCGTGTCCTGGAGATTTGCGAGGTTTTAGGTTCTTTAAAAGGAATTTGACCTCAGAGGGGTTGACGGCTGTAGGAGGTAAGG